TTGGATAAATCCAAGAATATGCCTAGAGAAAATTTCTTATTGTCTAGTGCATTTGTATAAACTGCAATAAGGCCATATAAGTAGAATGTTTTTGTCTGAAACCATATTGATGCTCATATAATATGTTATTGTCATTTAGATGTTTCAAAATTCTACTATAAATCAATTTCTCTAAAATTTTAGAAATAGATGGTAATATAGAAATTGGTCTATAGTTAGAAAATAAGGATGAATCACCAGATTTAAAAAGAGGTACAACTTTTGCCACTTTCAAATCGCCTGGGACAACACCTGTCGCAAGAGAAAGTGAAAACACATGGTTCAATGGCTCAGTGATTGAAGGCAGTACCTCTTTAAGCAGACTGCTTTTAATGTTATCATAACCAGCTGCTGAGTTTTTTAAATTTAAAATAATATTCTGTATTTCCTCAGATGTACGTGGTTCAAATATAGACATGGGCGGGTACTGACCCTGAATCGTTTCAAGTGGACAGTTGCTTGTACTCTTAATGTTTCTAGCCAAGGAAATACCAATGTTCACAAAATAATTATTAAACCCATTTGCAATCTCTACGGGATTAGAGTATGTTCGATTTCCATCCACAAAAGTAGATGGAAATGAAACGGACTGTGTTTTTTTATTGAGTAATTGATTTATTACATTCCAAGTAGATTTTATGTTATTGGCAGCCTCTTTAAATTGATCCGAATAATATTTCTTTTTTGCCATTCGAAGCAACGATATAAATTTATTTTTGAATTTTATGTAAACATCTGAATTTAAAGGAGTAGGGTTCATCAGAAATTTTTTGTATAGTTAGGGCCCGAGCGTAGCTGCTAAGCAGCTGCGAGAGCCCTGTTGTTCCTGTATAGGTTTTTTAGGGCCCGAGCGTAGCTGCTAAGCAGCTGCGAGAGCCCTGTTGTTCCTGATGGATTCTTCTTTAGGGCCCGAGCGTAGCTGCTAAGAAGCTGCGAGAGCCCTCTTGTTCCTGATGAGTTTTTAGGGCCCGAGCGTAGCTGCTAAGCAGCTGCGAGAGCCCTCTTGTTCCTGATGGATTCTTCTTTCGTTATTTTTCCTCCGCTTTAAACTGGAAAATGGCCCACTTCCCACTGGCGAAAACTCAGGAAATTTGGCAGGACGACCGGGCCTGGTGAAAAATTTGACATTCTGAAGTCGTCCAAACAAAAAAATGAAAAATGGCTCCATAGCGCCCCCTATGGTGAAAACTCACCTGATGCCTGTACGCTTTGTCAAAATGACACAAAATTTGACACACATGTGTATCTCAATAAGATCTACGAAAAAGTCAGTGCGGGCGTATCTGTCAAATGTACGGTTAAAGGGCTATTTCGCTTTTTTTGCCGATCCGCACACATTGGAATTTCGCTAACTCCTCCGAAGGCTTTCGTTCCACCGGCACCAAATTTGCTCAGGCCAATCTACACCCCATGGCCATTAAAAGTTGTACAAATCATGATGCTGCACCCCACGGTTTACTTTCTAGGGGGCGCCAAAAATAACACAAAAATCCACATTCTTAAAAGTCTTATAACTTTTTATTTTTGTCCTCACTGGCCTCCAAGTTTTCTAGGATGATGCAATGTCCAGCCATCAACACATTTGTGAAGGAATTTTTACTCCCCAAAAGAGCGCCCCCCCATGGCAGGAGAAAAAAGTCCATTTTTTCTTGTCCCCTAAGGTGAAAATACACATTGTTGAGTGTCACGCCTATACGCTTTGTCAAAATGACTCAAAAATTGACACACACATGTAACTCAATAAGATCTACGAAAAAGTCAATGCGCGCGTATCTGTCAAATGTACGGTTAAAGGGTTATTCCGCATTTTTTGCCGATCCGCACACATTGGAATGTGGCTAACTCCTCCTAAGGCTTTCGTTCCACCGGCACCACATTTGCTCAGGCCAATCTACACCCCATGGCCATTAAAAGTTATTCAAATCATGACGCTGCACCCCACGGTTTAGGTTCTAGGGGGCGCCAAAGATAACCCTAAAATTCACATATTTAAAAGTCTTATAACTTTTTATTTTTGTCCTCACTGGCCTCCAAGTTTTCTAGGATGATGCAATGTCCAGCCATCAACACATTTGTGAAGGAATTTTTACTCCCCAAAAGAGCGCCCCCCCATGGCAGGAGAAAAAAGTCAATTTTTTCTTGTCCCCTAAGGTGAAAATACATACTGTTGAGATTCACGCCTATACGCTTTGTCATATTGACACAAAATTTGACAATCACGTGCCTTGCCTGGTATCATTTTTTTCAGCACAACCTCACCTGTGCGAATTTACAGTTATTTTATCATGTTGACATACTGAATTTACACAATGGACCCAAATTCACACACAAAACATAAAATCCGAGTGGAAAAAAGTAACATTTTTACTGTGAAAACCACAAATATGTGTGATGAACTGTTTTTAAAACTTAAACTTCAAATAAAAATTGTAAACTTCAAAACATATGCAAATTTTTAACAAAGAACATAGTGATTTACCTCTATTTACATCAAAATGCAGGCAATGGCCCAGGCGTTCTTTGTAAAATTATTTACAAAACACTGTATAGTCTCACAAATGTCACTTTTTATTTATGCCACTACAAAAAAACATGATGTAAATGATGCATGATGTAAAACATGATGTAAAAAACTTGTGTAGATCCTCCTCTATGTCAGTCCATGTGTAATTTTTCCATAATTCTTTGTTTTTTGCAGCATTTTTGTTAGTGTAACTGCAGATTGTGCTGACAGTGTCTATGGCACAAAAAAAAAAAAAAAATTAAATGCCTCAACATGAACCCCTGGTGGTCTCTGAGGGTGAAACCTGCTAACTGCTGCAGCTCTGTCAGCTTCAGTCTCCCATGCAGAGCTCTGAGCGCATGTGTGGCTCTGCACCCTTAGCAGCGTTGCTAACTCCTCAGTAAGGAAAGCCTGCTTCATGTCAGAGTCTCTAAACTCCAGAAGAAGTCGATAAAAGTCCCTTTCTTTCTAAAAAAAAGTCGTTAGGGGGTCTGAAAAGTCATTGAATCTAACAACAAAGTCGCTAGGTTTGCAACTACGTGTCCCAGACTGCATCCCTGCTGAGAGTCCCTCCCTCCCTTCTCATATTGCAGGAAGAACGTAAGTTCGCCCGCCCCTTGTCAATCAGTCACCATATAATTTTGGATTGGTTGTTGTGGTGAAGTTTTCCACCAATAGGAGAGATGTTGTGGTGTGTTTTTTTTTTCTTTTGGCAAGCCTTTTCCGCCTGTAAGACCTGTCGCTAATGTCTGCATGCTATGTTTTCCTGTCACATACAGCGCGATCGAGCGCCGAGCGTGATCAAAATAAGCAGAAAAAAAGTATCGCGGACATAATTTATCATAACTCTGGTTTTATTTGGCCTATCAACACAATTTAAAAACTGGTATATAGGTTGAGGTCCTCACTTTTGAGATAAGTTGAAACGGAGAGTCAACAAGGCTCCGTCTTGCAGCTACATCCGGTTAAATATGTCATGTGACTTGAACGCACACACAGACACACACACACACACACACACACACACACACACACACACACACACACACACACACACACACTCAGAGTCTGGTTTTTAGCACCTGCAAAAACATGCTATTTACATATTTGACAAGAATGCAGAGGCTCCTTTTGCCCCTGAAAAAAATCAAATTTCAAACACAACTTGACTGGTCATTTCTCCAAAAGACAACCATGAAGCTCCATCCAAACCTGAAGCAGGCAGTTGGTGCATGTGTACAGTAACCTGAGGGGAGTGAGGTGAGTGCTTCTGAGGAGAACATGAGCAGTGAAGATTCACCTTGGAGCTAGAACAGAGACATGCACATGATTATACAGGGGCAGGGGCTCAAGTTTTTTCCAGTCGTTTATACAATATGGAAATTAATGTGAAATTAAAACACAAAGTATTAATAGAAAGGTAATGACTGTCCTGTGTAGGTGACAGTGATATCCAATAAGCTAGGCACTCACGAGGCTGGCTGTGGCAAGTGTAAGTGAAAGCAACACGCACTGGCAGGAAGAACAGCAAACGCCGATGAAGGAAAAGGGTCTTTGCAGTGATGGGCGTTAACAGAGAGGGCGATGGCCAGAGGACACAAATGGGACGGGGAGGCAGCACGTTGGGGGGGGGGGGGGGCGCGACACGGCTCGGGCCCGCCAGTGCCCCAACGGGGTCCTAGTTTCTTCTTTTTCCTCCCCTTTGAACTGGAAAATGGCCCACTTCCCACTGGCGAAAACTCATGAAATTTGGCAGGACGACCGGGCCTGGTGAAAATTCGATATTCCGAAGTCGCCGAAACAATAAAATGCAAAATGGCTCCATAGCGCCCCCTAAGGTGAAAATTCACACTATTGACTGTCACGCCTGTACGCTTTGTCAAAATGACACAAAATTGACACACACATGTATCTCAATAAGATCTACAAAAAAGTCAGTGCGGGCGTATCTGTCAAATGTACGGTTAAAGGGTTATTTCGCATTTTTTGCCGATCCGCACACATTGGAATTTCGCTAACTTCTCCGAAGGCTTTCGTTCCACCGGCACCATATTTGCTCAGGCCAATCTACATCCCATGGCCATTAAAAGTTATTCAAATCATGACGCTGCACCCCACGGTTTAGGTTCTAGGGGGCGCCAAAGATAACCCTAAAATCCACATATTTAAAAGACTTATAACTTTTTATTTTTGTCCTCACTGGCCTTCAAGTTTTCTAGGATGATGCAATGTCCAGCCATCAACCCATTTGTGAAGGAATTTTTACTCCCCAAAAGAGTGCCCCCCCCATGGCAGGAGAAAAAAGTCCATTTTTTCTTGTCCCCTAAGGTGAAAATACACATTGTTGAGTGTCACGCCTCTACGCTTTGGCAAAATGACACATAAATTGACACACACATGTATCTCAATAAGATCTACGAAAAAGTCAATGCGCGCGTATCCGTCAAATGTACGGTTAAAGGGTTATTCCACATTTTTTGCCGATCCGCACACATTGGAATTTCGCTAACTCCTCCGAAGGCTTTCGTTCCACCGGCAACACATTTGCTCAGGCCAATCTACACCCCATGGCCATTAAAAGTTATTCAAATCATGACGCTGCACCCCACGGTTTAGGTTCTAGGGGGCGCCAAAGATAACCCTAAAATCCACATATTTAAAAGTCTTATACCTTTTATTTTTGTCCTCACTGGCCTCCAAGTTTTCTAGGATGATGCAATGTCCAGCCATCAACACATTTGTGAAGGAATTGTTACTCCCCAAAAGAGCGCCCCCCCCCCCATGGCAGGAGAAAAAAGTCCATTTTTTCTTGTCGCCTAAGGTGAAAATTCACATTGTTGAGTGTGACACCTGTACGCTTTGTCATATTGACACAAAATTTTACAATCACGTGTATCTCAATAAGATCTACGAAAAAGTCAATGCGCGCGTATCTGTAAAATGTACGGTTAAAGGGCTATATTGCATTTTCTGCCGATTCGCACACATTGGAATGTGGGTAACTCCTCCTAAGGCTTTCGTCCCACTGACACCAAATTTGCTCAGGCCAATCTACATCCCATGGCCATTCAAAATTGTAAAAATCATGACGCTGCACCCCACGGTTTACCTTCTAGGGGGCGCCAAAGATGACCCAAAAATCCACATTCTTAAAAGAATCCCCCCCCCCTCCATGGCAGGAGAAAAAGTCAAGTTTTTCCTGCCCATCGCTCAATGGCTCAATCGCATCGCTCTCCCAGCAACACCGTAAGGAGGAGCAACCTGCCATTTGGATATATCCTAGCTGTGTTTGTGCCCTCACTCATGGCCCAGACTTTTTTCAAATAGGACATGTAGTTTGTCTGCAGCGAGTGTTTTGGTAGAAACTGCGCCTCCCATTCATTATAATGGGAAATGACCACAGACAAGTGCGCACACCATCTTTGGACCTTGAGTGTGACGCGATCGGGAGGGGTAGGCGGTCGCGCTGGGGGCGGCGCGACGCGGCTCGGGCCCGACAGTGCCCCACCGGGGCCCTAGTTAGGGCCCGAGCCAGCTGCAGAGCAGCCGGGCGTAGAGCCCTATTATTCCTGATGAGTTTTTCTGTTTCTTTCTTTCTTTCTTTAGGGCCCGAGCGTAGCTGCTAAGCAGCTGTGAGAGCCCTCTTGTTCCCGCATGTTTCCTTCTTTAGGGCCCGAGCGTAGCTGCTAAGCAGCTGCGAGAGCCCTCTTGTTCCTGATGGATTCTTCTTTCGTTATTAGGGCCCGAGCGTAGCTGCTAAGCAGCTGCGAGAGCCCTCTTGTTCCTGATGGATTCTTCTTTCGTTATTATTATTATTATTATTATTATTATTTTTCCTCCGCTTTAAACTGGAAAATGGCCCACTTCCCACTGGCGAAAACTCAGGAAATTTGGCAGGACAACCGGGCCTGGTGAAAAATTCGATATTCTGAAGTCGCCCAAACAATAAAATGCAAAATGGCTCCATAGCGCCCCTTAAGGTGAAAATTCACACTATTGACTGTCACGCCTGTACGCTTTGTCATATTGACACAAAAATTGACACACACATGTATCTCAATAAGATCTACAAAAAAGTCTTGCGGGCGTATCTGTCAAATGTATGGTTAAAGGGTTATTTCGCATTTTTTGCAGATCCGCACACATTGGAATTTCGCTAACTCCTCCGAAGGCTTTCGTTCCACCAGCACCACGTTTTCTCAGGCCAATCTACACCCCATGGCCATTCAAAGTTGTACAAATAATGACGCTGCACCCCACGGTTTAGGTTCTAGGGGGCGCCAAAGATAACCCTAAAATCCACATATTTAAAAGTCTTATACCTTTTATTTTTGTCCTCACTGGCCTCCAAGTTCTCTAGGATGATGCAATGTCCAGCCATCAACACATTTGTGAAGGAATTTTTACTCGCCAAAAGAGCGCCCCCCCATGGCAGGAGAAAAAAGTCCATTTTTTCTTGTCCCCCCAAGGCAAAAATACACATTGTTGAATGTCACGACTGTACGCTTTGTCATATTGACACAAAATTTGACAATCACGTGTATCTTAATAAGATCTACGAAGAAGTCCATGCGCACGTATCTGTAAAATGTACGGTTAAAGGGCTATTTTGCATTTTTTGCCGATTAGCACACATTGGAATGTGGCTAACTCCTCCTAAGGCTTTCGTCCCACCGACACCAAATTTGCTCAGGCCAACCTACACCCCATGGCCATTCAAAGTTGTACAAATCATGACGCTGCACCCCACGGTTTAGGTTCTAGGGGGCGCCAAAGAGGACCCAAATATCCACATTTTTAAAAGTCTTATAACTTTTTATTTTTGTCCTCACTGGCCTCCAAGTTTTCTAGGATGATGCAATGTCCAGCCATCAACACATTTGTGAAGGAATTTTTACTCCCCAAAAGAGCGCCCCCCCATGGCAGGAGAAAAAGTCAAGTTTTTCCTGCCCATCGCTCAATGGCTCAAACGCATCGCTCTCTCGGCAAAACCGAAAGGAGGAGCAACTTGCCATTTGGATATATACTAGCTGTGTTTGTGCCCTCACTCATGGTCCAGACTTTTTTCAAAAAGGACATGGAGTTTGTCTGCAGCGAGCGTTTTGGTAGAAACTGCGCCTCCCATTCATTATAATGGTAAATGACCACAGACAAGTGCGCACACCATCTTTGGACTTTGAGTGTGACGCAATCGGGAGGGGTAGGCGGTCGCGCTGGGGGCGGCGCGACATGGCTCGGGCCCGCCAGTGCCCCACCGGGGCCCTAGTTAGGGCCCGAGCGTAGCTGCTAAGCAGCTGCGAGAGCCCTCTTGTTCCTGATGGATTCTTCTTTTTAGGGCCCGAGCGTAGCTGCTAAGCAGCTGCGAGAGCCCTCTTGTTCCTGATGGATTCTTCTTTTGTTAGGGCCCGAGCGTAGCTGCTAAGCAGCTGCGAGAGCCCTCTTGTTCCTGATGGATTCTTCTTTTGTTATTATTAGGGCCCGAGCGTAGCTGCTAAGCAGCTGCGAGAGCCCTCTTGTTCCTGATGGATTCTTCTTTTTAGGGCCCGAGCCAGCTGCAGAGCAGCCGGGCGTAGAGCCCTATTATTCCTGTATAGGTTTTTCTTTCTTCTTTCTTTCTTTCTTTCTTTCTTCTTATTTTTCCTCCCCTTTGAAGGGGAAAATGGCCCACTTCCCACTGGCGAAAACTCATGAAATTTGGCAGGACGACCGGGCCTGGTGAAAAATTCAATATTCTGAAGTCGCCCAAACAATAAAATGCAAAATGGCTCCAAAGCGCCCCCTAAGGTGAAAATTCACACTATTGACTGTCACGCCTTTACGCTTTGTCATATTGACACAAAAATTGACACACACATGTATCTCAATAAGATCTACAAAAAAGTCAGTGCGGGCGTATCTGTCAAATGTACGGTTAAAGGGTTATTTTGCATTTTTTGCCGATCCGCACACATTGGAATTTCGCTAACTTCTCCGAAGGCTTTCGTTCCACCGGCACCACATTTGCTCAGGCCAATCTACACCCCATGGCCAATAAAAGTTGTACAAATCATGACGCTGCACCCCACGGTTTACGTTCTAGGGGGCGCCAAAGATAACCCAAAAATCCACAGTCTTAAAAGTCTTATAACTTTTTATTTTTGTCCTCACTGGCCTCCAAGTTCTCTAGGATGATGCAATGTCCAGCCATCAACACATTTGTGAAGGAATTTTTACTCGCCAAAAGAGCGCCCCCCCATGGCAGGAGAAAAAAGTCCATTTTTTCTTGTCTCCTAAGGCGAAAATTCACACTATTGACTGTCACGCCTTTACGCTTTGTCATATTGACACAAAAATTGACATACACATGTATCTCAATAAGATCTACAAAAAAGTCAGTGCGGGCGTATCTGTCAAATGTACGGTTAAAGGGTTATTTCGCATTTTTTGCCGATCCGCACACATTGGAATTTCGCTAACTCCTCCGAAGGCTTTCGTTCCACCAGCACCACATTTGCTCAGGCCAATCTACACCCCATGGCCATTAAAAGTTGTACAAATCATGATGCTGCACCCCACGGTTTACGTTCTAGGGGGCGCCAAAGATAACCCAAATATCCACAGTCTTAAAAGTTTTATAACTTTTTATTTTTGTCCTCACTGGCCTCCAAGTTCTCTAGGATGATGCAATGTCCAGCCATCAACACATTTGTGAAGGAATTTTTACTCGCCAAAAGAGCGCCCCCCCATGGCAGGAGAAAAAAGTCCATTTTTTCTTGTCTCCTAAGGCGAAAATTCACACTATTGACTGTCACGCCTTTACGCTTTGTCATATTGACACAAAAATTGACATACACATGTATCTCAATAAGATCTACAAAAAAGTCAGTGCGGGCGTATCTGTCAAATGTACGGTTAAAGGGTTATTTTGCATTTTTTGCCGATCCGCACACATTGGAATTTCGCTAACTCCTCCGAAGGCTTTCGTTCCACCAGCACCACATTTGCTCAGGCCAATCTACACCCCATGGCCATTAAAAGTTGTACAAATCATGATGCTGCACCCCACGGTTTACGTTCTAGGGGGCGCCAAAGATAACCCAAATATCCACAGTCTTAAAAGTTTTATAACTTTTTATTTTTGTCCTCACTGGCCTCCAAGTTCTCTAGGATGATGCAATGTCCAGCCATCAACACATTTGTGAAGGAATTTTTACTCGCCAAAAGAGCGCCCCCCCATGGCAGGAGAAAAAAGTCCATTTTTTCTTGTCTCCTAAGGCGAAAATACACATTGTTGACTGTCACGCCTTTACGCTTTGTCAAAATGACACAAAATTTGACACACACATGTATCTCAATAAGATCTACAAAAAAGTCAGTGCGGGCGTATCTGTCAAATGTACGGTTAAAGGGTTATTTTGCATTTTTTGCCGATCCGCACACATTGGAATTTCGCTAACTCCTCCGAAGGCTTTCGTTCCAACGGCACCACATTTGCTCAGGCCAATCTACACCCCATGGCCATTCAAAGTTGTACAAATCATGACGCTGCACCCCACGGTTTACGTTCTAGGGGGCGCCAAAGATAACCCAAAAATCCACAGTCTTAAAAGTCTTATAACTTTTTATTTTTGTCCTCACTGGCCTCCAAGTTTTCTAGGATGATGCAATGTCCAGCCATCAACACATTTGTGAAGGAATTTTTCTCCCCAAAAGAGCGCCCCCCATGGCAGGAGAAAAAGTCAAGTTTTTCCTGCCCATCGCTCAATGGCTCAAACGCATCGCTCTCTCGGCAAAACCGAAAGGAGGAGCAACTTGCCATTTGGATATATACTAGCTGTGTTTGTGCCCTCACTCATGGTCCAGACTTTTTTCAAAAAGGACATGGAGTTTGTCTGCAGCGAGCGTTTTGGTAGAAACTGCGCCTCCCATTCATTACAATGGTAAATGACCACAGACAAGTGCGCACACCATCTTTGGACCTTGAGTGTGACGCGATCGGGAGGGGTAGGCGGTCGCGCTGGGGGTGGCGCGACGCGGCTCGGGCCCGACAGTGCCCCACCGGGGCCCTAGTGTTATTATTAGGGCCCGAGCCAGCTGCAGAGCAGCCGGGCGTAGAGCCCTATTATTCCTGTATAGGTTTTTCTTTCTTCTTTCTTTCTTTCTTTCTTTCTTTCTTTCTTCTTATTTTTCCTCCCCTTTGAAGGGGAAAATGGCCCACTTCCCACTGGCGAAAACTCATGAAATTTGGCAGGACGAATGGGCCTGGTGAAAAATTCGATATTCTGAAGTCGCCCAAACAATAAAATGCAAAATGGCTCCATAGCGCCCCCTAAGGTGAAAATTCACACTATTGACTGTCACGCCTTTACGCTTTGTCATATTGACACAAAAATTGACACACACATGTATCTCAATAAGATCTACAAAAAAGTCAGTGCGGGCGTATCTGTCAAATGTACGGTTAAAGGGTTATTTTGCATTTTTTGCCGATCCGCACACATTGGAATTTCGCTAACTCCTCCGAAGGCTTTCGTTCCACCGGCACCACATTTGCTCAGGCCAATCTACACCCCATGGCCATTAAAAGTTGTACAAATCATGACGCTGCACCCCACGGTTTACGTTCTAGGGGGCGCCAAAGATAACCCAAAAATCCACAGTCTTAAAAGTCTTATAACTTTTTATTTTTGTCCTCACTGGCCTCCAAGTTCTCTAGGATGATGCAATGTCCAGCCATCAACACATTTGTGAAGGAATTTTTACTCGCCAAAAGAGGGCCCCCCCATGGCAGGAGAAAAAAGTCCATTTTTTCTTGTCTCCTAAGGCGAAAATTCACACTATTGACTGTCACGCCTTTACGCTTTGTCATATTGACACAAAAATTGACACACACATGTATCTCAATAAGATCTACAAAAAAGTCAGTGCGGGCGTATCTGTCAATCTACGGTTAAAGGGCTATTTCGCATTTTTTGCCGATCCGCACACATTGGAATTTCGCTAACTCCTCCGAAGGCTTTCGTTCCAAAGGCACCACATTTGCTCAGGCCAATCTACACCCCATGGCCATTAAAAGTTGTACAAATCATGACGCTGCACCCCACGGTTTACGTTCTAGGGGGCGCCAAAGATAACCCAAAAATCCACAGTCTTAAAAGTCTTATAACTTTTTATTTTTGTCCTCACTGGCCTCCAAGTTCTCTAGGATGATGCAATGTCCAGCCATCAACACATTTGTGGAGGAATTTTTACTCGCCAAAAGAGCGCCCATGGCAGGAGAAAAAAGTCAATTTTTTCTTGTCTCCTAAGGCAAAAATACACATTGTTGACTGTCACGCCTTTACGCTTTGTCAAAATGACACAAAATTTGACACACACATGTATCTCAATAAGATCTACGAAAAAGTCAAAGTGAGCGTATCTGTTCAATGTACGGTTAAAGGGCTATTTTGCATTTTTTGCCGATCCGCACACATTGGAATTTCGCTAACTCCTCCGAAGGCTTTCGTTCCAAAGGCATCACATTTGCTCAGGCCAATCTACACCCCATGGCCATTAAAAGTTGTACAAATCATGACGCTGCACCCCACGGTTTACGTTCTAGGGGGCGCCAAAGATAACCCAAAAATCCACAGTCTTAAAAGTCTTATAACTTTTTATTTTTGTCCTCACTGGCCTCCAAGTTCTCTAGGATGATGCAATGTCCAGCCATCAACACATTTGTGGAGGAATTTTTACTCGCCAAAAGAGCGCCCCCCCCCCCATGGCAGGAGAAAAAAGTCCATTTTTTCTTGTCTCCTAAGGCGAAAATTCACACTATTGACTGTCACGCCTGTACGCTTTGTCATATTAACACAAAAATTGACACACACATGTATCTCAATAAGATCTACAAAAAAGTCAGTGCGGGCGTATCTGTCAAATGTACGGTTAAAGGGTTATTTCGCATTTTTTGCAGATCCGCACACATTGGAATTTCGCTAACTCCTCCGAAGGCTTTCGGTCCACCGGCACCACATTTGCTCAGGCCAATCTACACTCCATGGCCATTCAAAGTTGTACAAATCATGATGCTGCACCCCATGGTTTAGGTTCTAGGGGGCGCCAAAAATAACCCTAAAATCCACATTCTTAAAAGTTTTATAACTTTTTATTTTTGCCCTCACTGGCCTCCAAGTCTTCTAGGATGATGCAATGTCCAGCCATCAACACATTTGTGAAGGAATTTTTACTCCCCAAAAGAGCGCCCCCCCCATGGCAGGACAAAAGAGTCAATTTTTTCTTGTCCCCTAAGGTGAAAATACACATTGTTGAATGTCACGCCTGTACGCTTTGTCATATTGACACAAAATTTGACAATCACGTGTATCTCAATAAGATCTACGAAAAGGTCAATGCGCGCGTATCTGTAAAATGTACGGTTAAAGGGTTATTTCGCATTTTTTGCCGATTCGCACACATTGGAATGTGGCTAACTCCTCCTAAGGCTTTCGTCCCACTGACACCAAATTTGCTCAGGCCAATCTACACCCCATGGCCATTCAAAGTTGTAAAAATCATGACGCTGCACCCCATGGTCTACGTTCTAGGGGGCGCCAAAGAGGACCCAAATATCCACATTTTTAAAGTCTTATAACTTTTTATTTTTGTCCTCACTGGCCTCCAAGTTTTCTAGGATGATGCAATGTCCAGCCATCAACACATTTGTGAAGGAATTTTTTCTCCCCAAAAGAGCGCCCCCCCCATGGCAGGAGAAAAAGTCAAGTTTTTCCTGCCCATCGCTCAATGGCTCAAACGCATCGCTCTCTCGGCAAAACGGAAAGGAGGAGCAACTTGCCATTTGGATTTATACTAGCTGTGTTTGTGCCCTCACTCATGGTCCAGACTTTTTTCAAAAAGGACATGGAGTTTGTCTGCAGCGAGCGTTTTGGTAGAAACTGCGCCTCCCATTCATTATAATGGTAAATGACCACAGACAAGTGCGCACACCATCTTTGGACCTTGAGTGTGACGCGATCGGGAGGGGTAGGCGGTCGCGCTGGGGGCGGCGTGACACGGCTCGGGCCCGCCAGTGCCCCACCGGGGCCCTAGTTATTATTTTTCCTCCGCTTTAAACTGGAAAATGGCCTACTTCCCACTGGAGAAAACTCATGAAATTTGGCAGGACGACCGGGCCTGGTGAAAAATTCGATATTCTGAAGTCGCCCAAACAATAAAATGCAAAATGGCTCCATAGCGCCTCCTAAGGCGAAAATTCACACTATTGACTGTCATGCCTGTACGCTTTGTCATATTGACACAAAAATTGACACACACGTGTATCTCAATACGGTCTACGAAAAAGTCAGCGCGGGCGCATCTGTGAAATGTACGGTTAGAGGGTTATTTCGCATTTTTTGCCGATCTGCACACATTGGAATTTGGCTAACTCCTCCGAAGGCATTCGTTCCACCGGCACCACATTTGCTCAAGCCAATCTACACCCCATGGCCATTAAAAGTTGTACAAATCATGACGCTGCACCCCACAGTTTACGTTCTAGGGGGCGCCAAAGATAACCCAAAAATCCACAGTCTTAAAAGTCTTATAACTTTTTATTTTTGTCCTCACTGGCCTCCAAGTTCTCTAGGATGATGCAATGTCCAGCCATCAACACATTTGTGAAGGAATTTTTACTCCCCAAAAGAGCGCCCCCACATGGCAGGAGAAAAAAGTCCATTTTTTCTTGTCCCCTAAGGTGAAAATACACATTGTTGAGTGTCACGCCTATACGCTTTGTCATATTGACACAAAATTTGACAATCACGTGTATCTCAATAAGATCTACGAAAAAGTCAATGGGCACGTATCTGTAAAATGTACGGTTAAAGGGTTATTTCGCATTTTTTCCCGATCCGCACACATTGGAATTTCGCTAACTCCTCCGAAGGCTTTAGTTCCACCGCCACCAAATTTGCTCAGGCCAATCTACTCCCCATGGCCATTAAAAGTTGTACAAATCATGACGTTGCACTCCACGGTTTAGGTTCTAGGGGGCGCCAAAGATAACCCAAAAATCCACATTCTTAATAGTCTTATAACTTTTTATTTTTGTCCTCACTGGCCTCCAAGTTTTCTAGGATGATGCAATGTCCAGCCATCAACACATTTGTAAAGGAATTTTTACTCCCGAAAAGAGCGCCCCCCCATGGCAGGAGAAAAAAGTCCATTTTTTCTTGTCCCCTAAGGTGAAAAAACACATTGTTGACTGTCACGCCTATACGCTTTGTCAAAATGACACAAAATTTGACACACACGTGTATCTCAATAAGATCTACGAAAAAGTCAATGGGCACGTATCTGTAAAATGTACGGTTAAAGGGCTATTTCGCATTTTTTGCCGATTCGCACACATTGGAATGTGGCTAACTCCTCCTAAGGCTTTCTTCCCACCGACACCAAATTTGCTCAAGCCGATCTACATCCCATGGCCATTCAAAGTTGTAAAAATCATGCCGCTGCACCCCATGGTTTACGTTCTAGGGGGCGCCAAAGATGACCCAAATATCCACATTCTTAAAAGAATCCACATCCCCCCCCCCCCAAGGCAGGAGAAAAAGTCCAGTTAACCCTGCCCATCGCTCAATGGCTCAATCGCATCGCTCTCCTGGCAACACCGTAAGGAGGAGCAACTTGCCATTTGGATATATCCTAGCTGTGTTTGTGCCCTCACTCATGGTCCAGACTTTTTTCAAATAGGACATGTAGTTTGTCTGCAGCGACCGTTTTGGTAGAAACTGCGCCTCCCATTCATTATAATGGGAAATGACCACAGACAAGTGCGCACACCATCTTTGGACCTTGAGTGTGATGCGAACGGGAGGGGGAGGCGGTCGCGCTGGGGGCGGCGCGACGCGGCTCGGGCCCAACAGTGCCCCACCGGGGCCCTAGTTAGGGCCCGAGCGTAGCTGCTAAGCAGCTGCGAGAGCCCTGTTGTTCCTGATGAGTTTTTCTTTCTTCTTTCTTTCTTTCTTTCTTCTTATTTTTCCTCCCCTTTGAAGGGGAAAATGGCCCACTTCCCACTGGCGAAAACTCATGAAATTTGACAGGAGGACCGGGCCTGGTGAAAAATTCGATATTCTGAAGTCGCCCAAACAATAAAATGCAAAATGGCTCCATAGCGCCCCCTAAGGTGAAAATTCACACTATTGACTGTCACGCCTGTACGCTTTGTCATATTGACACAAAAATTGACACACACATGTATCTCAATAAGATCTACAAAAAAGTCAGCACGGGCGTGTCTGTCAAATGTACGGTTAAAGGGTTATTTCGCATTTTTTGCCGATCCGCACACATTGGAATTTCGCTAACTCCTCCGAAGGCTTTCGTTCCACCGGCACCACATTTGCTCAGGCCAATCTACACCCCATGGCCATTAAAAGTTGTACAAATCATGACGCTGCACCCCACGGTTTACGTTCTAGGGGGCGCCAAAGATAACCCAAAAATCCACAGTCTTAAAAGTCTTATAACTTTTTATTTTTGTCCTCACTGGCCTCCAAGTTCTCTAGGATGATGCAATGTCCAGCAATTAACACATTTGTGAAGGAATTTTTACTCGCCAAAAGAGTGCCCCCCCATGGCAGGAGAAAAAAGTCCATTTTTTCTTGTCCCCTAAGGCGAATATACACATTGTTGAGTGTCACGCCTGTACGCTTTGTCATATTGACACAAAATTTGACAATCAAGTGTATCTCAATAAGATCTATGAAAAAGTCAATGTGCGCGTATCTGTAAAATGTACAGTTAAAGGGCTATTTCGCATTTTTTGCCGATTCGCACACATTGGAATGTGGCTAACTCCTCCTAAGGCTTTCGTTCCACTGACACCAAATTTGCTCAGGCCAATCTACACCCCATGGCCATTCAAAGTTGTACAAATCATGACGCTGCATCCCACGGTTTACGTTCTAGGGGGCGCCAAAGATGACCCAAATATCCACATTTTTAAAAGTCTTATAACTTTATTTTTGTCCTCACTGGCCTCCAAGTTTTCTAGGATGATGCAATGTTCAGTCATCAACACATTTGTGAAGGAATTTTTTTTCCCCAAAAGAGCGCCCCCCCATGGCAGGAGAAAAAGTCAAGTTTTTCCTGCCCATCGCTCAATGGCTCTAATTCATCGCTCTCTCGGCAAAACCGAAAGGAGGAGCACCTTGCCATTTGGGTATATACTAGCAGTGTTTGTGCCCTCACTCATGGTCCAGACTTTTTTCAAAAAGGACATGGAGTTTGTCTGCAGCGAGCGTTTTGGTAGAAACTGCGCCTCCCATCCATTATAATGGTAAATGACCACAGACAAGTGCGCACACCATCTTTGGACCTTGAGTGTGACGCGATCGGGAGGGGTAGGTGGTCGCGCTGGGAGCGGCGCGACACGGCTCGGGCCCGCCAGTGCCCCAACGGGGCCCTAGTTATTATTATTATTTTTCCTCCGCTTTAAACTGGAAAATGGCCCACTTCCCACTGGCGAAAACTCATGAAATTTGGCAGGACGACCGGGCCTGGTGAAAAATTCGATATTCTGAAGTCGCCCAAACAATAAAATGCAAAATGGCTCCATAGCGCCCCCTAAGGCGAAAATTCACACTATTGACTGTCACGCCTGTACGCTTTGTCATATTGACACAAAAATTGACACACACGTGTATCTCAATACGGTCTACGAAAAAGTCAGCGCGGGCGCATCTGTGAAATGTACGGTTAGAGGGTTATTTCGCATTTTTTGCCGATCTGCACACATTGGAATTTGGCTAACTCCTCCGAAGGCATTCGTTCCACCGGCACCACATTTGCTCAAGCCAATCTACACCCCATGGCCATTAAAAGTTGTACAAATCATGACGCTGCACCCCACAGTTTACGTTCTAGGGGGCGCCAAAGATAACCCAAAAATCCACAGTCTTAAAAGTCTTATCACTTTTTATTTTTGTCCTCACTGGCCTCCAAGTTCTCTAGGATGATGCAATGTCCAGCCATCAACACATTTGTGAAGGAATTTTTGCTCCCCAAAAGAGCGCCCCCACATGGCAGGAGAAAAAAAGTCCATTTTTTCTTGTCCCCTAAGGTGAAAATACACATTGTTGAGTGTCACGCCTATACGCTTTGTCATATTGACACAAAATTTGACAATCACGTGTATCTCAATAAGATCTACGAAAAAGTCAATGGGCACGTATCTGTAAAATGTACGGTTAAAGGGTTATTTCGCATTTTTTCCCGATCCGCACACATTGGAATTTCGCTAACTCCTCCGAAGGCTTTAGTTCCACCGCCACCAAATTTGCTCAGGCCAATCTACACCCCATGGCCATTAAAAGTTGTTCAAATCATGACGTTGCACTCCACGGTTTAGGTTCTAGGGGGCGCCAAAGATAACCCAAAAATCCACATTCTTAATAGTCTTATAACTTTTTATTTTTGTCCTCACTGGCCTCCAAGTTTTCTAGGATGATGCAATGTCCAGCCATCAACACATTTGTAAAGGAATTTTTACTCCCGAAAAGAGCGCCCCCCCATGGCAGGAGAAAAAAGTCCATTTTTTCTTGTCCCCTAAGGTGAAAAAACACATTGTTGACTGTCACGCCTATACGCTTTGTCAAAATGACACAAAATTTGACACACACGTGTATCTCAATAAGATCTACGAAAAAGTCAATGGGCACGTATCTGTAAAATGTATGGTTAAAGGGCTATTTCGCATTTTTTGCCGATTCGCACACATTGGAATGTGGCTAACTCCTCCTAAGGCTTTCTTCCCACCGACACCAAATTTGCTCAAGCCGATCTACATCCCATGGCCATTCAAAGTTGTAAAAATCATGCCGCTGCACCCCATGGTTTACGTTCTAGGGGGCGCCAAAGATGACCCAAATATCCACATTCTTAAAAGAATCCACATCCCCCCCCCCCCAAGGCAGGAGAAAAAGTCCAGTTAACCCTGCCCATCGCTCAATGGCTCAATCGCATCGCTCTCCTGGCAACACCGTAAGGAGGAGCAACTTGCCATTTGGATATATCCTAGCTGTGTTTGTGCCCTCACTCATGGTCCAGACTTTTTTCAAATAGGACATGTAGTTTGTCTGCAGCGACCATTTTGGTAGAAACTGCGCCTCCCATTCATTATAATGGGAAATGACCACAGACAAGTGCGCACACCATCTTTGGACCTTGAGTGTGATGCGATCGGGAGGGGGAGGCGGTCGCGCTGGGGGCGGCGCGACGCGGCTCGGGCCCGACAGTGCCCCACCGGGGCCCTAGTTATTATTATTATTTTTCCTCCGCTTTAAACTGGAAAATGGCCCACTTCCCACTGGCGAAAACTCATGAAAATTGGCAGGACGACCGGGCCTGGTGAAAAATTCGATATTCTGAAGTCGCCCAAACAAGAAAATGCAAAATGGCTCAATAGCGCCCCCAAAGGTGAAAATTCACACTATTGACTGTCACGCCTATACGCTTTGTCATATTGACACAAAAATTGACACACACATGTATCTCAATAAGATCTACGAAAAAGTCAATGCGCGCGTATCTGTCAAATGTACGGTTAAAGGGTTATTCCGCATTTTTTGCCGTTCCGCACACATTGGAATTTCGCTAACTCCTCCGAAGGCTTTCGTTCCACCTGCACTACATTTGCTCAGGCCAATCTACACCCCATGGCCATTGAAAGTTGTACAAATCATGACGCTGCACCCCATGGTTTACGTTCTAGGGGGCGCCAAAGATGACCCAAATATCCACATTTTTAAAAGTCTTATAACTTTTTATTTTTGTCCTCACTGGCCTCCAAGTTTTCTAGGATGATGCAATGTGCAGCCATCAACACATCTGTGAAGGAATTTTTTCTCCCCAAAAGAGCGCCCCCCCCCCCCATGGCAGGAGAAAAAGTCAAGTTTTTCCAGCCCATCGCTTAATGGCTCAAACGCATTGCTCTCCCGCTAAAACCAAAAGGAGGAGCAACTTGCCATTTGGATATGTCCTAGCTGTGTTTGTACCCTCACTCATGGTCCAGAATTTTTTCAAATAGGACATGTAGTTTGTCTGCAGCGAGCGTTTTGGTAGAAACTGTGCCTCCCATTCATTATAATGGGAAATGACCAAAGACAGGTGCGCACACCATCTTTGGACCTTGACTTTGACGTCACAGTTTGAAATACAAATGTTATTTGACCTCTGACCTTTGGTGGACACCCTAACCTTTCAACCCGCGAAAACGGCGTTTCAATAGCTCTTACGGCTTTCCTACAAATACACTTTGTTCAGCTACTCCTACTGTCCTTTAAGCTCTGCTTCTCAGATCATCAAAGAGTGTGCACGTGTGTAATGAGCGCATATTGAATGTTAATTATGTTAAATATGTTAATTATTAGAAGAAAAAACAACAACAGTCCTTTTGGACAAAATTTCTTTTTATTACAGAATTAGAATAATGGAAGCATAGTCCAAGGAAACCATTCAAGTGATGTCATACCTCATAATTAATTGAGATGTTGGCTAGTCTGGGCATTTCTTCATTCATCAGGTTTCCTGCATGCATACTAACAGAGCACATCAGTAGCAGTGAGTGATAAGTATGAGTGTGTCATTGTGTAAGAAAGAAAGTGGTTTACTTGCACATCCATAGAAAATAGGTGGTTGAGCACAGCACGCAAACAAAGCTTTGCCACAACGGTTGAACTTCCCAAGTAGCTGATACCAAGGTCACACAATCATGGTGAGCAAAGGTCAAACCAGGCCAGGCACTCACGAGGCTGGCTGTGGCAAGTGTAAGTGAAAGCAACACGCAATGGCAGGAAGAACAGCAAACACCGATGAAGGAAAAGGGTCTTTGCAGTGATGGGCGTCACCAGAGAGGGCGATGGCCAGAGGGCACGAATGGGACGGGGAGGCGGTCGCGCTGGGGGCGGCGCGACGCTGCTCGGGCCCGCCAGTGCCCCAACGGGGCCCTAGTTATTAGGGCCCGAGCGTAGCTGCTAAGCAGCTGCGAGAGCCCTATTATTCCTGATGGATTCTTCTTTCTTCTTCTTCTTATTATTATTTTTCTGCCCCTTTGAACTGGAAAATGGCCCACTTCCCACTGGTGAAAACTCATGAAATTTGGCAGGACGACCGGGCCTGGTGAAAAATTCGATATTCTGAAGTCACCCAAACAATCAAATGCAAAATGGCTCCATAGCGCCCCCTAAGGTGAAAAATTCACATGATTGAGTGTCACGCCTGTACGCTTTGTCAAAATGACACAAAATTTGACACACACGTGTATCTCAATAAGATCTACAAAAAAGTCAGTGCGGGCGTATCTGTCAAATGTACGTTTAAAGGGCTATTTCGCATTTTTTGCCGATCCGCACACATTGGAATTTCGCTAACTCCTCCGAAGGCTTTCGTTCCACCGGCACCAAATTTGCTCAGGCCAATCTATACCCCATGGCCATTCAAAGTTGTACAAATCATGACGCTGCACCCCACGGTTTACGTTGTAGGGGGCGCTAAAGATAACCCAAAAATCCACATTCTTACAAGTCTTATAACTTTTTATTTCTGTCCTCACTGGCCTCCAAGTTTTCTAGGATGATGCAATGTCCAGCCATCAACACATTTGTGAAGGAATTTTTACTCCCCAAAAGAGCGCCCCCCCATGGCAGGAGAAAAAAGGCCATTTTTTCTTGTCCTATAAGGTGAAAATACACATTGTTGAGTGTCACGCCTGTACGCTTTGTCATATTGAAACAAAATTTGATAATCACGTGTATCTCAATAAGATCTACGAAAAAGTCAATGCGCACGTGTCTGCAAAATGTACGGTTAAAGGGCTATTTCGCATTTTTGGTTGATTCGCACACATTGGAATGTGGCTATCTCCTCCTAAGGCTTTCGTTCCACCGATACCAAATTTGCTCAGGCCAATCTACACCCCATGCCCATTCAAAGTTGTAAAAATCATGACGCTGCACCCCACGGTTTACGTTGTAGGGGGCGCCAAAGATGACCCAAAAATCCACATTCTTAAAAGTCATTTTGGCCACTGCAGGAGTACAGAGTACTGCAGTTCTAGGGGGCGCCAAAGATGACCTAAAAATCCACATTCTTAAAAGTCTTTTTGGCCACTGCAGGAGTACAGAGTACTGCAGGATACACACACATATACACACACACACACACACACACACACACACACACACACACACACTCAGAGTCTGTTTTTTAGCACCTGCAAAAACATGCTGTTTACATATTTGACAAGAATGCAGAGGCTTCCTTTTGCCCCTGAAAAAAATCAGATTTCAAACACAACTTGACTGTTCATTTCTCCAAAAGACAACCATGAAGCTCCATCCAAACCTGAAGCAGATAGTTGGTGCATGTGTACAGTAACCTGAGGAGAGTGAGGTGACTATTTCTGAGGAGAACATGAGCAGTGAAGATTCACCTTGGAGCTAGAACAGGGACGTGCACATGATTATACAGGGGCAGGGGCTCAAGTTTTTTCCAGTCATTTATACAATATGGAAATTAATGTGAAATTAAACCACAAATATGTGTGATGAACTGTTTTTAAAACTTAAACTTCAAATAAAAATTGTAAACTTCAAAACATATGCAAATTTTTAACAAAGAACATAGTGATTAACCTCTATTTACATCAAAATGCAGGCAATGGCCCAGGCGTTCTTTGTAAAATTATTTACAAAACACTGTATAGTCTCACAAATGTCACTTTTTATTTATGCCACTACAAAAAAACATGATGTAAATGATGCATGATGTAAAACATGATGTAAAAAACTTGTGTAGATCCTCCTCTATGTCAGTCCATGTGTAATTTTTCCATAATTCTTTGTTTTTTGCAGCATTTTTGTTAGTGTAACTGCAGATTGTGCTGACTGTCTATGGCAAAAAAAAAAAAAAACTGAAAATGCCTCAACATGAACCCCTGGTGGTCTCTGAGGGTGAAACCTGCTAACTGCTGCAGCTCTGTCAGCTTCTGTCTCCCATGCAGAGCTCGGAGCGCATGTGTGGCTCTGCACCCTTAGCAGCGTTGCTAACTCCTCAGTAAGGAAAGCCTGCTTCATGTCAGAGTCTCTAAACTCCAGAAGAAGTCGATAAAAGTCCCTTTCTTTCTAAAAAAAAGTCGTTAGGGGGTCTGAAAAGTCATTGAATCTAACAACAAAGTCGCTAGGTTTGCAACTACGTGTCCCAGACTGCATCCCTGCTGAGAGTCCCTCCCTCCCTTCTCATGTTGCAGGAAGAACGTAAGCGCCCGCCCCTTGTCAATCAGTCACCATATAATTTTGGATTGGTTGTTGTGGTGAAGTTTTCCACCAATAGGAGAGATGTTGTGGTGTGTTTTTTTTTTCTTTTGGCAAGCCTTTTCCGCCTGTATGACCTGTCACTAATGTGTGCATGCAATGTTTTCCTGTCTCATACAGCACGATTGAGCGCCGAACGTGATCAAAATAAGCAGAAAAAAAGTATCGCGGACATAATTTATCATAACTCTGGTTTTATTTGGCCTATCAACACAATTTAAAAACTGGTATATAGGTTGAGGTCCTCACTTTTGAGATAAGTTGAAACGGAGAGTTAACGAGGCTCCGTCTTGCAGCTACATCCGGTTAAATATGTCATGTGACTTGAACGCTGGGGAGCGTCAATCGAATCGAATCAAACCTAACTCTCAGATGAATCTTCAAAATTCACCTCAGAAATATGCTTATTATTCTTCTCAGAGTACTGCAGGATACACACACACACACACACACAGACACACACACACACACGCACACACACACACACACACACACTCAGAGTCTGTTTTTTAGCACCTGCAAAAACATGCTATTTACATATTTGACAAGAATGCGGAGGCTTCCTTTTGCCCCTGAAAAAAATCAGATTTCAAACACAACTTGACTGGTCATTTCTCCAAAAGACAACCATGAAGCTCCATCCAAACCTGAAGCAGGCAGTTGGTGCATGTGTACAGTAACCTGAGGGGAGTGAGGTGACTGCTTCTGAGGGGAACATGAGCACTGAAGATTCACCTTGGAGCTAGAACAGGGACGTGCACATGATAATACAGGGGCAGGGGCTCAAGTTTTTTCCAGTCGTTTATACAATATGGAAATTAATGTGAAATTAAAAAACAAAGTATGACTGTCCTGTGTAGGTGACAGTGATATCCAATAGGCTAGGCACTCACGAGGCTGGCTGTGGCAAGTGTAAGTGAAAGCAACACGCACTGGCAGGAAGAACAGCAAACGCCGATGAAGGAAAAGGGTCTTTGCAGTGATGGGCGTTACCAGAGAGGGCGATGGCCAGAGGACACGAATGGGACGGGGAGGCAGCGCGTTGGGGGGGGGGGGGTGCGACACGGCTCGGGCCCGCCAGTGCCCCAACGGGGCCCTAGTTATTATTATTATTATTTTTCCTCCGCTTTAAACTGGAAAATGGCCCACTTCCCACTGGCGAAAACTCATGAAATTTGGCAGGACAACCGGGCCTGGTGAAAAATTCGATATTCTGAAGTCGCCCAAACAATAAAATGCAAAATGGCTCCATAGCGCCCCCTAAGGTGAAAATTCACACTATTGACTGTCACGCCTGTACGCTTTGTCATATTGACACAAAAATTGACACACACATGTATCTCAATAAGATCTACAAAAAAGTCAGTGCGGGTGTATCTGTCAAATGTATGGTTAAAGGGTTATTTCGCATTTTTTGCAGATCCGCACACATTGGAATTTCGCTAACTCCTCCGAAGGCTTTCGTTCCACCAGCACCACGTTTGCTCAGGCCAATCTACACCCCATGGCCATTCAAAGTTGTACAAATCATGACGCTGCACCCCACGGTTTACGTTCTAGGGGGCGCCAAAGATAACCCAAAAATCCACAGTCTTAAAAGTCTTATAACTTTTTATTTTTGTCCTCACTGGCCTCCAAGTTCTCTAGGATGATGCAATGTCCAGCCATCAACACATTTGTGAAGGAATTTTTACTCGCCAAAAGAGCGCCCCCCCCCATGGCAGGAGAAAAAAGTCAATTTTTTCTTGTCCCCCAAGGCAAAAATACACATTGTTGAATGTCACGCCTGTACGCTTTGTCATATTGACACAAAATTTGACAATCACGTATATCTCAATAAGATCTACGAAAAAGTCAAAGAGCGCGTATCTGTATAATGTACGGTAAAAGGGCTATTTCGCATTTTTTGCCGATTCACACACATTGGAATGTGGCCAACTCCTCCTAAGGCTTTCGTCCCACTGACACCAAATTTGCTTAGGCCAATCTACAACCCATGGCCATTAAAAGTTGTAAAAATCATGACGCCGCACCCCACGGTTTACGTTCTAGGGGGCGCCAAAGATGACCCAAATATACATTACAGCAGACAAAGTAGTTTTGCCCACTGAGTGGCGCCAAAGGGACTTGTCTATTGAGTCTGGGAGTCACTATTGGCCGTTTTTGACTACTTTAGATTTTACCTTTATTAGGGCCCGAGCGTAGCTGCTAAGCAGCTGCGAGAGCCCTATTATTCCCCAAGTGGTTTTTCTTTGTTTCTTTCTTTCTTCTTTTTCCTCCCCTTTGAACTGGAAAATGGCCCACTTCCCACTGGCGAAAACTCATGAAATTTGGCAGGATGACCGGGCCTGGTGAAAAATTTGATATTCCGAAGTCGCCCAAACAAGAAAATGCAAAATGGCTCCATAGCGCCCCCTAAGGTGAAAATTCACACTATTGACTGTCACGCCTTTACGCTTTGTCAAAATGACACAAAAATTGACACACATATGTATCTCAATAAGATCTACAAAAAAGTCAGTGCGGGCGTATCTGTCAAATGTACGGTTAAAGGGTTATTCCGCATTTTTTGCCGATCCGCACACATTGGAATTTCGCTAACTCCTCCGAAGGCTTTCTTTCCACCGGCACCACATTTGCTCAGGCCAATCTACACCCCATGGCCATTAAAAGTTATTCAAATCATGATGCTGCACCCCACGGTTTAGGTTCTAGGGGGCGCCAAAGATAACCCTAAAATCCACATATTTAAAAGTCTTATAACTTTTTATTTTTGCCCTCACTGGCCTCCAAGTTTTCTAGGATGATGCAATGTCCAGCCATCAACACATTTGTGAAGGAATTTTTACTCCCCAAAAGAGCGCCCCCCCATGGCCGGAGAAAAAAGTCCATTTTTTCTTGTCCCCTAAGGTGAAAATACACATTGTTGAGTGTCACGCCTGTACGCTTTGTCATATTGACACAAAATTTGACACACACATGTATCTCAATAAGATCTACGAAAAAGTCAATGCGCGCGTATCTGTCAAATGTACGGTTAAAGGGTTATTCCGCATTTTTTGCTGATCCGCACACATTGGAATTTCGCTAACTCCTCCTAAGGCTGGCGTTCCACCGGCACCACATTTGCTCAGGCCAATCTACACCCCATGGCCATTAGTCAAATCATGACGCTGCACCCCACGGTTTAGGTTCTAGGGGGCGCCAAAGATAACCCTAAAATCCACATATTTCAAAGTCTTATAACTTTTTATTTTTGTCCTCACTGGCCTCCAAGTTTTCTAGGATGATGCAATGTCCAGCCATCAACACATTTGTGAAGGAATTTTTACTCCTCAAAAGAGCGCCCCCCCATGGCAGGAGAAAAAAGTCAATTTTTTCTTGTCCCCTAAGGTGAAAATACACATTGTTGAGTGTGACACCTGTACGCTTTGTCATATTGACACAAAATTTGACAATCACGTGTATCTCAATAAGATCTACGAAAAAGTCAATGGGTGCGTAACTGTCAAATGTACGGTTAGAGGGCTATTTTGCATTTTTTGCCGATTCGCACACATTGTAATGTGGCTAACTCCTCCTAAGGCTTTCGTCCCACTGAAACCAAATTTGCTCAGGCCAATCTACACCCCATGGCCATTCAAAGTTGTAAAAATCATGACGCTGCACCCCACGGTTTACGTTCTAGGGGGCGCCAAAGATGACCAAAAAATCCACATTCTTAAAAGAATCCACATTCTCCCCCCCCATGGCAGGAGAAAAAGTCAAGTTTTTCCTGCCCATCGCTCAATGGCTCAATCGCATCGCTCTCCAGGCAACACCGTAACGAGGAGCAACCTGCCATTTGGATATATCCCAGCTGTGTTTGTGCCCTCACTCATGGTCCAGACTTTTTTCTAATAGGACATGAAGTTTGTCTGCAGCGAGTGTTTTGGTAGAAACTGCGCCTCCCATTCATTATAATGGGAAATGACCACAGACAAGTGCGCACACCATCTTTGGACCTTGAGTGTGACGCAATCGGGAGGGGGAGGCGGTCACGCTGGGGGCGGCACGACGCGGCTCGGGCCCGACAGTGCCCCACCGGGGCCCTAGTATTTCCTCTTAAAGTTTTTTTACCTTGCCTTGCCTGGTATCATTTTTTTCAGCACAACCTCACCTGTGTGAATTTACAGTTATTTTATCATTTTGACATACTGTATTTACACAATGGACCCAAATTCACACACAAAACATAAATTCCGAGTGGAAAAAAGTAACATTTTTACTGTGAAAACCACAAATATGTGTGATGAACTGTTTTTAAAACTTAAACTTCAAATAAAAATTGTAAACTTCAAAACATATGCAAATTTTTAACAAAGAACATAGTAATTTACCTCTATTTACATCAAAATGCAGGCAATGGCCCAGGCGTTCTTTGTAAAATTATTTACAAAACACTGTATAGTCTCACAAATGTCACTTATATTTAAGCCACTACAAAAAATCATGATGTAAATGATGCATGATGTAAAACATGATGTAAAAAACTTGTGTAGATCCTCCTCTATGTTAGTCCATGTGTAATTTTTCCATAATTCTTTGTTTTTTGCAGCATTTTTGTTAGTGTAACTGCAGATTGTGCTGACAGTGTCTATGGCAAAAAAAAAAAAAAACTGAAAATGCCTCAACATGAACCCCTGGTGGTCTCTGAGGGTGAAACCTGCTAACTGCTGCAGATCTGTCAGCTTCATGCAGAGCTCGGAGCACATGTGTGGCTCTGCACCATTAGCAGCGTTGCTAACTCCTCAGTAAGGAAAGCCTGCTTCATGCCTGAGTCTCTAAACTCCAGAAGAAGTCGATAAAAGTCCCTTTCTTTCTAAAAAAAAAAGGCGTTAGGTGGTCTGAAAAGTCATTGAATCTAACAACAAAGTTGCTAGGTTTGCAACTACGTGTCCCAGACTGCATCCCTGCTGAGAGTCCCTCCCTCCCTTCTCATGTTGCAGGAAGACCGTAAGCGCCCGCCCCTTGTCAATCAGTCACCATATAATTTTCGATTGGTTGTTGTGGTGAAGTTTTCCACCAATAGGAGAGATGTTGTGGTGTGTTTTTTTTTTCTTTTGGCAAGCCTTTTCCGCCTGTAAGACCTGTCGCTAATGTCTGCATGCTATGTTTTCCTGTCTCATACAGCGCGATCGAGCGCCGAACGTGATCAAAATAAGCAGAAAAAAAGTATCGCAGACATAATTTATCATAACTCTGGTTTTATTTGGCCTATCAACACAATTTAAAAACTGGTATATAGTTTAAGGTCCTCACTTTGGAGATAAGTTGAAACGGATAGTCAACGAGGCTCCATCTTGCAGCTACATCCGGTTAAATATGTCATGTGACTTGAACGCTGGGGAGCGTCAATCGACTGCAGAGCCAGCAGACAAAGTACTTATGGCCATTGAGAGGCACACATTTGTCATATGCTATAATCCTAACATATTTTAATGCTTTTTCTATTTAAACCTAATGGATCTAAGGTTTGACCTTCAAAATTTAGGAAGAATATGTTATTGCAGTAATGACCCCCTTAAACAACCAGAGGTCCTTTCCTAAAGTTTATGGAAATTTTAGTGAAGGCCTTGGTTTCTGTCCTCGCAAAATGCATAGAAATAATAAAGCTAAATACCATAAAATGGTCTTGGCGTATTAGCAGTGATATAAAATAGTGGTTTGAATATGAATGAACAACAAAAAAAAACATCAACAGAGCCTTTTTGTGTTGGGATTCTTTCATTATTACACAAAAACAGACATAGACAGACATCGAAAGGGTAAGGGAATGATCAGCCCTCCTGACTCTCAGATGAATCTTCAAAATTCACCTCAGAAATATGCTTATTCTTCTCAGAGTACTGCAGGATACACACACACACACACACACACACACACACACACACACTCAGAGTCTTTTTTTTAGCACCTGCAAAAACATGCTATTTACATATTTGACAAGAATGCAGAGGCTCCTTTTGCCCCTGAAAAAAATCAAATTTCAAACACAACTTGACTGCTCATTTCTCCAAAAGACAACCATGAAGCTCCATCCAAACCTGAAGCAGGCAGTTGGTGCATGTGTACAGTAACCTGAGGGGAGTGAGGTGACTGCTTCTGAGGAGAACATGAGCAGTGAAGATTCACCTTGGAGCTAGAACAGGGACGTGCACATGATTATACAGGGGCAGGGGCTCACGTTTTTTCCAGTCGTTTATACAATATGGAAATTAATGTGAAATTAAAAACAAAGTATTAATAGAAAGGTAATGACTGTCCTGTGTAGGTGACCGTGATATCCAATAGGCTAGGCACTCACAAGGCTGGCTGTGGCAAGTGTAAGTGAAAGCAACATGCACTGGCAGGAAGACCAGCTAACACAGATGAAGGAAAAGGGTCTTTGCAGTGATGGGCGTCACCAGAGAGGGCGACAGCCAGAGGACGTGAATGGGACAGGGAGGCGGTCGCGCTGGGGGCGGCGCGACGCGGCTCGGGCCCGCCAGTGCCCCAACGGGGCCCTAGTTTGTTATTATTATTATTATTATTATTTTTCCTCCGCTTTAAACTGGAAAATGGCCCACTTCCCACTGGCGGAAACTCATTAAATTTGGCAGGACGACCGGGCCTGGTGCAAAATTCGATATTCTGAAGTCGCCCAAACAATAAAATGCAAAATGGCTCCATAGCGCCCCCTAAGGTGAAAATTCACACTATTGACTGTCACGCCTTTACGCTTTGTCATATTGACACAAAAATTGACACACACATGTATCTCAATAAGATCTACAAAAAAGTCAGTGCGGGCGTATCTGTCAAATGTACGGTTAAAGGGTTATTTCGCATTTTTTGCCGATCCGCACACATTGGAATTTCGCTAACTCCTCCGAAGGCTTTCGTTCCAACGGCACCACATTTGCTCAGGCCAATCTACACCCCATGGCCATTAAAAGTTGTACAAATCATGACGCTGCACCCCACGGTTTACGTTCTAGGGGAACGAAGGAATTTTTACTCCCCAAAAGAGCGCCCCCCAATGGCAGGAGAAAAAAGTCCATTTTTTCTTGTCTCCTAAGGCGAAAATACACATTGTTGACTGTCACGCATTTACGCTTTGTCAAAATGACACAAAAATTGACACACACATGTATCTCAATACGATCTACGAAAAAGTCAATGCGAGCGTATCTGTTCAATGTACGGTTAAAGGGCTATTTCGCATTTTTTGCCGATTCGCACACATTGGAATGTGGCTAACTCCTCCTAAATCTTTTGTCCCATCGGCTTCAAATTTGCTCAGGTCAATCTACACCCCATGGCCATTCAAAGTTGTACAAATCATGACGCTGCACCCCACAGTTTACGTTCTAGGGGGCGCCAAAGAGGACCCAAATATCCACATTTTTAAAAGTCTTATAACTTTTTATTTTTGTCCTCACTGGCCTCCAAGTTTTCTAGGATGATGCAATGTCCAGCCATCAACACATTTGTGAAGGAATTTTTTCTCCCCAAAAGCGCGCCCCCCCATGGCAGGAGAAAAAGTCAAGTTTTTCCTGCCCATCGCTCAATGGCTCAAACGCATCGCTCTCTCGGCAAAACGGAAAGGAGGAGCAACTTGCCATTTGGATATATACTAGCTGTGTTTGTGCCCTCACTCATGGTCCAGACTTTTTTCAAAAAGGACATGGAGTTTGTCTGCAGCGAGCGTTTTGGTAGAAACTGCGCCTCCCATTCATTATAATGGTAAATGACCACAGACAAGTGCGCACACCATCTTTGGACCTTGAGTGTGACGCGATCGGGAGGGGTAGGCGGTCGCGCTGGGGGCGGCGCAACACGGCTCGGGCCCAACAGTGCCCCAACGGGGCCCTAGTTAGGGCCCGAGCCAGCTGCAGAGCAGCCGGGCGTAGAGCCCTATTATTCCTGTAAAGGTTTTTCTTTCTTCTTTCTTTCTTTCTTTCTTTAGGGCCCGAGCGTAGCTGCTAAGCAGCTGCGAGAGCCCTCTTGTTCCTGCATGTTTCCTTCTTTTGTTATTATTATTATTATTATTTTTCCTCCCCTTTGAACTGGAAAATGGCCCACTTCCCACTGGCGAAAACTCATGAAATTTGGCAGGACGACCGGGCCTGGTGAAAAATTTGATATTCTGAAGTCGCCCAAACAATAAAATGCAAAATGGCTCCATAGCGCCCCCTAAGGTGGAAATTCACACTATTGACTGTCACGCCTGTACGCTTTGTCAAAATGACACAAAATTTGACACACATATGTATCTCAATAAGATCTACAAAAAAGTCAGTGCGGGCGTATCTGTCAAATGTACGGTTTAAGGGCTATTTCGCATTTTTTGGCGATCCGTACACATTGGAATTTCGCTAACTCCTCCGAAGGCTTTTGTTCCACCGGCACCACATTTGCTCAGGCCAATCTACACCCCATGGCCATTAAAAGTTATTCAAATCATGACGCTGCACCCCACGGTTTAGGTTCTAGGGGGCGCCAAAGATAACCCTAAAATCCACATATTTAAAAGTCTTATAACTTTTTATTTTTGTCCTCACTGGCCTCCAAGTTCTCTAGGATGATGCAATGTCCAGCCATCAACACATTTATGAAGGAATTTTTACTCGCCAAAAGAGCGCCCCCCCATGGCAGGAGAAAAAAGTCCATTTTTTCTTGTCTCCTAAGGCGAAAATACACATTGTTGACTGTCACGCCTTTACGCTTTGTCAAAATGACACAAAATTTGACACACACATGTATCTCAATAAGATCTACGAAAAAGTCAATGCGAGCGTATTTGTTCAATGTACGGTTAAAGGGCTATTTCGCATTTTTTGCCGATTCGCACACATTGGAATGTGGCTAACTCCTCCTAAATCTTTTGTCCCACCGGCACCACATTTGCTCAGGCCAATCTACACCCCATGGCCATTAAAAGTTATTCAAATCATGACGCTGCACCCCACGGTTTAGGTTCTAGGGGGCGCCAAAGATAACCCTAAAATCCACATATTTAAAAGTCTTATAACTTTTTATTTTTGTCCTCACTGGCCTCCAAGTTTTCTAGGATGATGCAATGTCCAGCCATCAACACATTTGTGAAGGAATTTTTCTCCCAAAAGAGCGCCCCCCCATGGCAGGAGAAAAAGTCAAGTTTTTCCTGCCCATCGCTCAATGGCTCAAACGCATCGCTCTCTCGGCAAAAACCGAAAGGAGGAGCAACTTGCCATTTGGATATATCTAGCTGTGTTTGTGCCCTCACTCATGGTCCAGACTTTTTTCAAATAGGACATGGAGTTTGTCTGCAGCGAGCGTTTTGGTAGAAACTTCGCCTCCCATTCATTATAATGGTAAATGACCACAGACAAGTGCGCACACCATCTTTGGACCTTGAGTGTGACGCGATCGGGAGGGGTAGGCGGTCGCGCTGGGGGCGGCGCGACACGGCTCGGGCCCGCCAGTGCCCCAACGGGGCCCTAGTTAGGGCCCGAGCCAGCTGCAGAGCAGCCGGGCGTAGGCCCTATTATTCCCCAAGTGGTTTTTCTTTGTTTCTTTCTTTCTTTCTTTCTTTCTTCTTTTTCCTCCCCTTTGAACTGGAAAATGGCCCACTTCCCACTGGCGAAAACTCATGAAATTTGGCAGGACGACTGGGCCTGGTGAAAAATTCGATATTCTGAAGTCGCCCAAACAATAAAATGCAAAATGGCTCCATAGCGCCCCCTAAGGTGGAAATTCACACTATTGACTGTCACGCCTGTACGCTTTGTCATATTGACACAAAAATTGACACACATATGTATCTCAATAAGATCTACAAAAAAGTCAGTGCGGCCGTATCTGTCAAATGTACGGTAAAAGGGCTATTTCGCATTTTTTGCCGATCCGCACACATTGGAATTTCGCTAACTCCTCCGAAGGCTTTCGTTCCACCGGCACCACATTTGCTCAGGCCAATCTACACCCCGTGGCCATTAAAAGTTATCAAAATCATGACGCTGCACCCCAAGGTTTAGGTTCTAGGGGGCGCCAAAGATAACACTAAAATCCACATATTTAAAAGTCTTATAACTTTTTATTTTTGTCCTCACTGGCCTCCAAGTTTTCTAGGATGATGCAATGTCCAGCCATCAACACATTTGTGAAGGAATTTTTACTCCCCAAAAGAGCGCCCCCCCATGGCAGGAGAAAAAAGTCCATTTTTTCTTGTCCCCTAAGGTGAAAATACACATTGTTGAGTGTCACGCCTATACGCTTTGTCAAAATGACACAAAAATTGACACACACATGTAACTCAATAAGATCTATGAAAAAGTCAATGCGCGCGTATCTGTCAAATGTACGGTTAAAGGGTTATTCCGCATTTTTTGCCGATCCGCACACATTGGAATTTCGCTAACTCCTCCTAAGGCTTTCGTTCCACCGGCACCACATTTGCTCAGGCCAATCTACACCCCATGGCCATTAAAAGTTATTCAAATCATGACGCTGCACCCCACGGTTTAGGTTCTTGGGGGCGCCAAAGATAACCCTAAAATCCACATATTTAAAAGTCTTATAACTTTTTATTTTTGTCCTCACTGGCCTCCAAGTTTTCTAGGATGATGCAATGTCCAGCCATCAACACATTTGTGAAGGAATTTTTACTCCCCAAAAGAGCGCCCCCCCATGGCAGGAGAAAAAAGTCCATTTTTTCTTGTCCCCTAAGGTGAAAATACATATTGTTGAGATTCACGCCTATACGCTTTGTCATATTGACACAAAATTTGACAATCACGTGCCTTGCCTGGTATCATTTATTTCAGAACAACCTCACCTGTGCGAATTTACAGTTATTTTATCATGTTGACATACTGAATTTACACAATGGACCCAAATTCACACACAAAACATAAAATCCGAGTGGAAAAAAGTAACATTTTTACTGTGAAAACCACAAATATGTGTGATGAACTGTTTTTAAAACTTAAACTTCAAATAAAAATTGTAAACTTCAAAACATATGCAAATTTTTAACAAAGAACATAGTGATTTACCTCTATTTACATCAAAATGCAGGCAATGGCCCAGGCGTTCTTTGTAAAATTATTTACAAAACACTGTATAGTCTCACAAATGTCACTTTTTATTTATGCCACTACAAAAAAACATGATGTAAATGATGCATGATGTAAAACATGATGTAAAAAACTTGTGTAGATCCTCCTCTATGTCAGTCCATGTGTAATTTTTCCATAATTCTTTGTTTTTTGCAGCATTTTTGTTAGTGTAACTGCAGATTGTGCTGACAGTGTCTATGGCACAAAAAAAAAAAAAAAATTAAAATGCCTCAACATGAACCCCTGGTGGTCTCTGAGGGTGAAACCTGCTAACTGCTGCAGCTCTGTCAGCTTCAGTCTCCCATGCAGAGCTCTGAGCGCATGTGTGGCTCTGCACCCTTAGCAGCGTTGCTAACTCCTCAGTAAGGAAAGCCTGCTTCATGTCAGAGTCTCTAAACTCCAGAAGAAGTCGATAAAAGTCCCTTTCTTTCTAAAAAAAAGTCGTTAGGGGGTCTGAAAAGTCATTGAATCTAACAACAAAGTCGCTAGGTTTGCAACTACGTGTCCCAGACTGCATCCCTGCTGAGAGTCCCTCCCTCCCTTCTCATGTTGCAGGAAGAACGTAAGCGCCCGCCCCTTGTCAATCAGTCACCATATAATTTTGGATTGGTTGTTGTGGTGAAGTTTTCCACCAATAGGAGAGATGTTGTGGTGTGTTTTTTTTTTTCTTTTGGCAAGCCTTTTCCGCCTGTAAGACCTGTCGCTAATGTCTGCATGCTATGTTTTCCTGTCTCATACAGCGCGATCGAGCGCCGAACGTGATCAAAATAAGCAGAAAAAAAGTATCGCGGACATAATTTATCATAACTCTGGTTTTATTTGGCCTATCAACACAATTTAAAAACTGGTTAAAAGGTTGAGGTCCTCACTTTTGAGATAAGTTGAAACGAAGAGTCAACGAGGCTCCGTCTTGCAGCTACATCCGGTTAAATATGTCATGTGACTTGAACGCACACACAGACACACGCACACGCACACACACACACACACACACACACACACACACTCAGAGTCTGGTTTTTAGCACCTGCAAAAACATGCTATTTACATATTTGACAAGAATGCAGAGGCTCCTTTTGCCCCTGAAAAAATTCAAATTTCAAACACAACTTGACTGGTCATTTCTCCAAAAGACAACCATGAAGCTCCATCCAAACCTGAAGCAGGCAGTTGGTGCATGTGTACAGTAACCTGAGGGGAGTGAGGTGAGTGCTTCTGAGGAGAACATGAGCAGTGAAGATTCACCTTGGAGCTAGAACAGAGACATGCACATGATTATACAGGGGCAGGGGCTCAAGTTTTTTCCAGTCGTTTATACAATATGGAAATTAATGTGAAATTAAAACACAAAGTATTAATAGAAAGGTAATGACTGTCCTGTGTAGGTGACAGTGACATCCAATAGGCTAGGCACTCACGAGGTTGGCTGTGGCAAGTGTAAGTGAAAGCAACACGCACTGGCAGGAAGAACAGCAAGCGCCGATGAAGGAAAGGGTCTTTGCAGTGATGGGCGTTACCAGAGAGGGCGATGGCCAGAGGACGCGAATGGGACGGGGAGGCAGCGCGTTGGGGGGGGCAGCGCGACACGGCTCGGGCCCGCCAGTGCCCCAACGGGGCCCTAGTTAGGGCCCGAGCGTAGCTGCTAAGCAGCTGCGAGAGCCCTCTTGTTCCTGCATGTTTCCTTCTTTTGTTATTATTAGGGCCCGAGCGTAGCTGCTAAGCAGCTGCGAGAGCCCTATTATTCCCCAAGTGGTTTTTCTTTGTTTCTTTCTTTCTTTCTTTCTTTCTTTCTTTCTTCTTTTTCCTCCCCTTTGAACTGGAAAATGGCCCACTTCCCACTGGCGAAAACTCATGAAATTTGGCAGGACGACCGGGCCTGGTGAAAAATTCGATATTCTGAAGTCGCCCAAACAATAAAATGCAAAATGGCTCCATAGCGCCCCCTAAGGTGGAAATTCACACTATTGACTGTCACGCCTGTACGCTTTGTCATATTGACACAAAAATTGACACACATATGTATCTTAATAAGATCTACAAAAAAGTCAGTGCGGCCGTATCTGTCAAAATTAAGGTTAAAGGGTTATTTCGCATTTTTTGCCGATCCGCACACATTGAAATTTCGCTAACTCCTCCGAAGGCTTTCGTTCCACCGGCACCACATTTGCTCAGGCCAATCTACACCCCGTGGCCATTAAAAGTTATCAAAATCATGACGCTGCACCCCAAGGTTTAGGTTCTAGGGGGCGCCAAAGATAACACTAAAATCCACATATTTAAAAGTCTTATAACTTTTTATTTTTGTCCTCACTGGCCTCCAAGTTTTCTAGGATGATGCAATGTCCAGCCATCAACACATTTGTGAAGGAATTTTTACTCCCCAAAAGAGCGCCCCCCCATGGCAGAAGAAAAAAGTCCATTTTTTCTTGTCCCCTAAGGTGAAAATACACATTGTTGAGTGTCACGCCTATACGCTTTGTCAAAATGACACAAAAATTGACACACACATGTAACTCAATAAGATCTACGAAAAAGTCAATGCGCGCGTATCTGTCAAATGTACGGTTAAAGGGTTATTCCGCATTTTTTGCCGATCCGCACACATTGGAATGTGGCTAACTCCTCCTAAGGCTTTCGTTCCACCGGCACCACATTTGCTCAGGCCAATCTACACCCCGTGGCCATTAAAAGTTATCAAAATCATGACGCTGCACCCCAAGGTTTAGGTTCTAGGGGGCGCCAAAGATGACACTAAAATCCACATATTTAAAAGTCTTATTACTTTTTATTTTTGTCCTCACTGGCCTCCAAGTTTTCTAGGATGATGCAATGTCCAGCCATCAACACATTTGTGAAGGAATTTTTACTCCCCAAAAGAGCGCCCCCCCATGGCAGAAGAAAAAAGTCCATTTTTTCTTGTCCCCTAAGGTGAAAATTCACACTATTGACTGTCAGGCCTGTACGCTTTGTCATATTGACACAAAAATTGACACACACATGTATCTCAATAAGATCTACGAAAAAGTCAATGCCGCGTATCTGTCAAATGTACGGTTAAAGGGTTATTTCGCATTTTTTGCCGATGCGCACACATTGGAATTTCGCTAACTCCTCCTAAGGCTTTTGTTCCACCGGCACCACATTTGCTCAGGCCAATCTACACCCCATGGCCATTGAAAGTTATTCAAATCATGATGCTGCACCCCACGGTTTAGGTTCTAGGGGGCGCCAAATATAACCCTAAATCCACATATTTAAAAGTCTTATAACTTTTTATTTTTGTCCTCACTGGCCTCCAAGTTCTCTAGGATGATGCAATGTCCAGCCATCAACACATTTGTGAAGGAATTTTTACTCCCCAAAAGAGCGCCCCCCCATGGCAGGAGAAAAAAGTCAATTTTTTCTTGTCCCCTAAGGTGAAAATACACATTGTTGAGTGTCACGCCTGTACGCTTTGTCATATTGACACAAAATTTGACAATCACGTGTGTCTCAATAACATCTACGAAAAAGTCAATGCACGCGTATCTGTCAAATGTACGGTTAAAGGGCTATTTTGCATTTTTTGCCGATTCGCACACATTGGAATGTGGCTAACTCCTCCTAAGGCTTTCATCCCACTGACACCAAATTTGCTCAGGCCAATCTACACCCCATGGCCATTAAAAGTTGTAAAAATCATGGCGGTGCACCCCACGGTTTACGTTCTAGGGGGCGCCAAAGATGACCCAAATATCCACATTCTTAAAAGAATCCACATCCCCCCCCCCCCCAATCCCCCATCCCCCATGGCAGGAGAAACAGTCAAGTTTTTCCTGCCCATCACTCAATGGCTCAATCGCATCGCTCTCCCGGCAACACCGTAACGAGGAGCAACTTGCCGTTTGGATATATCCTAGCTGTGTTTGTGCCCTCACTCATGGTCCAGACTTTTTTCAAATAGGATATGTAGTTTGTCTGCAGCGAGTGTTTTGGTAGAAACTGCGCCTCCCATTCATTATAATGGGAAATGACCACAGACAAGTGCGCACACCATCTTTGGACCTTGAGTGTGACGCGATCGGGAGGGGGAGGTGGTCGCGCTGGGGGCGGCGCGACGCGGCTCGGGCCCGACAGTGCCCCACCGGGGCCCTAGTTATTATTTTTCCTCCCCTTTGAACTGGAAAATGGCCCACTTCCCACTGGCGAAAACTCATGAAATTTGGCAGGACGACCGGGCCTGGTGAAAAATTTGATATTCCGAAGTCGACCAAACAAGAAAATGCAAAATGGCTCCATAGCGCCCCCTAAGGTGAAAATTCACACTATTGACTGTCACGCCTGTACACTTTGTCAAAATGACACAAAAATTGACACACACATGTATCTCAATAAGATCTACGAAAAAGTCAACGCGCGCGTATCTGTCAAATGTACGGTTAAAGGGTTATTCCGCATTTTTTGCCGATCCGCACACATTGGAATTTCGCTAACTCCTCCGAAGGCTTTCGTTCCACCGGCACCACATTTGCTCAGGCCAATCTACACCCCATGGCCATTAAAAGTTATTCAAATCATGACGCTGCACCCCACGGTTTAGGTTCTAGGGGGCGCCAAAGATAACCGTAAAATCCACATATTTAAAAGTCTTATAACTTTTTATTTTTGTCCCCACTGGCCTCCAAGTTTTCTAGGATGATGCAATGTCCAGCCATCAACACATTTGTGAAGGAATTTTTACTCGCCAAAAGAGCGCCCCCCCATGGCAGGAGAAAAAAGTCCATTTTTTCTTGTCCACTAAGGTGAAAATACACATTGTTGAGTGCTACGCCTGTATGTTTTGTCGTATTGACACAAAATTTTACATACACATGTATCTCAATAAGATCTACGAAAAAGTCAATGCGCGCGTATCTGTCAAATGTACGGTTAAAGGGTTATTCCGCATTTTTTGCCGATCCGCACACATTGGAATTTCGCTAACTCCTCCGAAGGCTTTCGTTCCACCGGCACCACATTTGCTCAGGCCAATCTACACCCCATGGCCATTAAAAGTTATTCAAATCATGACGCTGCACCCCACGGTTTAGGTTCTAGGGGGCGCCAAAGATAACCCTAAAATCCACATATTTAAAAGTCTTATAACTTTTTATTTTTGTCCTCACTGGCCTCCATGTTTTCTAGGATGATGCAATGTCCAGCCATCAACACATTTGTGAAGGAGTTTTTTCTCTTTAAAAGAGCGCCCCCCCCCATGGCAGGAGAATAAAGTCAAGTTTTTCCTGTTCATCATTCAATGGCTCAAACGCACTGCTCTCTCGGCAAAAGCGAAAGGAGGAGCAACTTGCCATTTGGATATATCTTAGCTGTGTTTGTGCCCTCACTCATGGTCCAGACTTTTTTCAAATAGGACATGGAGTTTTTTTGCAGCGAGCGTTTTGGTAGAAACTGCGCCTCCCGTTCATTATAATGGTAAATGACCACAAACAAGTGCGCACACCATCTTTGGACCTTGAGTGTGACGCGATCGGGTGGGGGAGGCGGTCGCGCTGGGGGCGGCGTGACACGGCTCGGGCCCGCCAGTGCCCCAACGGGGCCCTAGTGTTATTATTTTTCCTCCCTTTTAAACTGGAAAATGGCCCACTTCCCACTGGCGAAAACTCAGGAAATTTGGCAGGACGAATGGGCCTGGTGAAAAATTCGATATTCTGAAGTCGCCCAAACAATAAAATGCAAAATGGCTCCATAGCGCCCCCTAAGGTGAAAATTCACATGACGGCTGTACGCTTTGTCATATTGACACAAAAATTGACACACATATGTATCTCAATAAGATCTACAAAAAAGTCAGTGCGGGCGTATTTGTCAAATGTACGGTTAAAGGGTTATTTCGCATTTTTTGCCGATCCACACACATTGGAATTTCGCTAACTCCTCCGAAGGCTTTCGTTCCACCGGCACCACATTTGCTCAGGCCAATCTACACCCCATGGCCATTAAAAGTTATTCAAATCATGACGCTGCACCCCACGGTTTAGGTTCTAGGGGGCGCCAAAAATAACCCTAAAATCCACATATTTAAAAGTCTTATAACTTTTTATTTTTGTCCTCACTGGCCTCCAAGTTTTCTAGGATGATGCAATGTCCACCCATCAACACATCTGTGAAGGAATTTTTACTCGCCAAAAGAGCGCCCCCCCATGGCAGGAGAAAAAAGTCAATTTTTTCTTGTCCCCTAAGGTGAAAATACACATTGTTGAGTGTCACGCCTATACGCTTTGGCAAAATGACACAAAAATTGACACACACATGTATCTCAATAAGATCTACAAAAAAGTCCATGCGCACGTATCTGTCAAATGTACAGTTAAAGGGTTATTCCGCATTTTTTGCCGATACGCACACATTGGAATTTCGCTAACTCCTCCGAAGGCTTTCGTTCCACCGGCACCACATTTGCTCAGGCCAATCTACACCCCATGGCCATTAAAAGTTATTCAAATCATGATGCTGCACCCCATGGTTTAGGTTCTAGGGGGCGCCAAAAATAACCCAAAAATCCACATTCTTAAATGTTTTATAACTTTTTTTTTTTGTCCTCACTGGCCTCCAAGTTTTCTAGGATGATGCAATGTCCAGCCATCAACACATTTGTGAAGGAATTTTTACTCCCCAAAAGAGCGCCCCCCCATGGTAGGAGAAAAAAGTCAATTTTTTCTTGTCCCCTTACATGAAAATACACATTGTTGAGTGTCACGCCTGAACGCTTTGTCATATTGACACAAAAATTGACAATCATGTGTATCTCAATTAGATCTACGAAAAAGTCAAACAGCGCGTATCTGTATAATGTACGGTTAAAGGGCTATTTTGCATTTTTTGCCGATTCGCACACATTGGAATGTGGCTATCTCCTCCTAAGGCTTTCGTCCCACCGATACCAAATTTGCTAAGGGCAATCTACACCCCATGCCCATTCAAAGTTGTAAAAATCATGATGCTGCACCCCACGGTTTACGTTCTAGGGGGCGCCAAAAATGACCCAAAAATCCACATTCTTAAAAGTCATTTTGGCCACTGCAGGAGTACAGAGTACTGCAGTTCTAGGGGGCGCCAAAGATGACCCAAAAATCCACATTCTTAAAAGTCTTTTTGGCCACTGCAGGAGTACAGAGTACTGCAGGATACACACACATATACACACACGCCAACATACACACACACACACACACACACACACACACACACAGACACACACACACACTCAGAGTCTGTTTTTTAGCACCTGCAAAAACATGCTGTTTACATATTTGACAAGAATGCAGAGGCTTCCTTTTGCCCCTGAAAAAAATCAAATTTCAAACACAACTTGACTGTTCATTTCTCCAAAAGACAACCATGAAGCTCCATTTCAAACCTGAAGCAGATAGTTGGTGCATGTGTACAGTAACCTGAGGGGAGTAAGGTGACTATTTCTGAGGAGAACATGAGCAGTGAAGATTCACCTTGGAGCTAGAACAGGGACGTGCACATGATTATACAGGGGCAGGGGCTCAAGTTTTTTCCAGTCATTTATACAATATGGAAATTAATGTGAAATTAAACCACAAATATGTGTGATGAACTGTTTTTAAAACTTAAACTTCAAATAAAAATTGTAAACTTCAAAACATATGCAAATTTTTAACAAAGAACATAGTAATTTACCTCTATTTACATCAAAATGCAGGCAATGGCCCAGGCGTTCTTTGTAAAATTATTTACAAAACACTGTATAGTCTCACAAATGTCACTTTTTATTTATGCCACTACAAAAAAACATGATGTAAATGATGCATGATGTAAAACATGATGTAAAAAACTTGTGTAGATCCTCCTCTATGTCAGCCCATGTGTAATTTTTCCATAATTCTTTGTTTTTTGCAGCATTTTTGTTAGTGTAACTGCAGATTGTGCTGACAGTGTCTATGGCAAAAAAAAAAAAAACTGAAAATGCCTCAACATGGACCCCTGGTGGTCTCTGAGGGTGAAACCTGCTAACTGCTGCAGCTCTGTCAGCTTTAGTCTCCCATGCAGAGTTCGGAGCGCATGTGTGGCTCTGCACCCTTAGCAGCGTTGCTAACTCCTCAGTAAGGAAAGCCTGCTTCATGTCAGAGTCTCTAAACTCCAGAAGAAGTCGATAAAAGTCCCTTTCTTTCTAAAAAAAAGTCGTTAGGGGGTCTGAAAAGTCATTGAATCTAACAACAAAGTCGCTAGGTTTGCAACTACGTGTCCCAGACTGCATCCCTGCTGAGAGTTCCTCCCTCCCTTCTCATGTTGCAGGAAGAACGTAAGCGCCCGCCCCTTGTCAATCAGTCACCATATAATTTTGGATTGGTTGTTGTGGTGAAGTTTTCCACCAATAGGAGAGATGTTGTGGTGTTTTTTTTTTTCTTTGGCAAGCCTTTTCCGCCTGTAAGACCTGTCGCTAATGTCTGCATGCTATGTTTTCCTGTCTCATACAGCACGATCGAGCGCCGGACGTGATCAAAATAAGCAGAAAAAAAGTATCGCGGACATAATTTATCATAACTCTGGTTTTATTTGGCCTATCAACACAATTTGAAAACTGGTGTATAGTTTGAGGTCCTCACTTTTGAGATAAGTTGAAACGGAGAGTCAACGAGGCTCCGTCTTGCTGCTACATCCGGTTAAATATGTAAGGTGACTTGAACGCTGAGGAGCGTCCATCGACTGCAGAGCCAGCAGACAAAGTAGTTGTGGCCACTGAAAGGCACATATTTGTCATATGCTATAATCCTAACATATTTTAATGCTTTTTCTATTTAAACCTAATGGATCTAAGGTTTGACCTTCAAAATTTAGGAAGAATATGTTTTTGCAGTAATGACCCCGTTAAACAACCAGAGGTCCTTTCCTAAAGTTTATGGAAATTTTAGTGAAGGCCTTGGTTTCTTTCCTTGCAAAATGTATAGAAATAATAAAGCTAAATTCCATAAAATGGTCTTGGCGTATTAGCAGTGATATAAAATAGTGGTTTGAATATGAATGAACAACAACAACAAAAAAACATCAACAGAGCCTTTTTGAGTTGGGATTCTTTCATTATCACACAAAAACAGACATAGACAGACATCTAAAGGGTAAGGGAATGATCAGCCCTCCTAACTCTCAGATGAATCTTCAAAATTCACCTCAGAAATATGCTTATTATTCTTCTCAGAGTACTGCAGGATATACACACACACACTCAGAGTCTTTTTTTAGCACCTGCAAAAACATGCTATTTACATATTTGACTAGAATGCAGAGGCCCCTTTTTGCCCCTGAAAAAAATCAAATTTCAAACACAACTTGACTGCTCATTTCTCCAAAAGACAACCATGAAGCTCCATCCAAACCTGAAGCAGGCAGTTGGTGCATGTGTACAGTCACCTGAGGAAAGTGAGGTGACTACTTCTGAGGAGAACATGAGCAGTGAAGATTCACCTTGGAGCTAGAACAGGGATGTGCACATGATTATACAGGGGCAGGGGCTCAAGTTTTTTCCAGTCATTTATACAATATTGAAATTAATGTGAAATTAAAAAACAAGTATTAATAGAAAGGTTATGACTGTCCTGTGTAGATGACAGTGATATCCAATAGGCTAGGCACTCACGAGGCTGGCTGTGGCAAGTGTAAGTGAAAGCAACACGCACTGGCAGGAAGAACAGCAAACGCCGATGAAGGAAAGGGTCTTTGCAGTGATGGGCGTTACCAGAGAGGGCGATGGCCAGAGGACGCGAATGGGACGGGGAGGCAGCGCGTTGGGGGGGGCAGCGCGACACGGCTCGGGCCCGCCAGTGCCCCAACGGGGCCCTAGTTTGTTATTATTTTTCCTCCGCTTTAAACTGGAAAATGGCCCACTTCCCACTGGCGAAAACTCAGGAAATTTGGCAGGACGACCGGGCCTGGTTAAAAATTCGATATTCTGAAGTCGCCCAAACAATAAAATGCAAAATGGCTCCATAGCGCCCCCTAAGGTGAAAATTCACATGACGGCTATACGCTTTGTCAAAATGACACAAAAATTGACACACACATGTATCTCAATAAGATCTACAAAAAAGTCAGTGCGGGCGTATCTGTCAAATGTATGGTTAAAGGGTTATTCCGCATTTTTTGCCGATCGACACACATTGGAATTTCGCTAACTCCTCCGAAGGCTTTCGTTCCACCGGCACCACATTTGCTCAGGCCAATCTACACCCCATGGCCATTAAAAGTTATTCAAATCATGACGCTGCACCCCACGGTTAAGGTTCTAGGGGGCGCCAAAGATAACCCAAAAATCCATATTCTTAAAAGTCTTATAACTTTTTATTTTTGTCCTCACTGGCCTCCAAGTTTTCTAGGATGATGCAATGTCCAGCCATCAACACATTTGTGAAGGAATTTTTACTCCCCAAAAGAGCGCCCCCCATGGCAGGAGAAAAAAGTCCATTTTTTCTTGTCCCCTAAGGTGAAAATACACATTGTTGAGTGTCACGCCTGTACGCTTTGTCAAAATGACACAAAATTTGACACACAGGTGTATCTCAATAAGATCTACGAAAAAGTCAGTGCGGGCGTATCTGTCAAATGTACGGTTAAAGGGCTATTTCGCATTTTTCGGCGATCCGTACACATTGGAATTTCGCTAACTCCTCCGAAGGCTTTCGTTCCACCGGCACCATTTTTGCTCAGGCCAATCTACACCCCATGGCCATTAAAAGTTATTCAAATCATGACGCTGCACTCCACGGTTTAGGTTCTAGGGGGCGCCAAAAATAACCCAAAAATCCACATTCTTAAAAGTCATAACTTTTTATTTTGTCCTCACTGGCCTCCAAGTTTTCAAAGATGATGCAATGTCCAGCCATCAACACATTTGTGAAGGAATTTTTACTCCCCAAAAGAGCGCCCCCCCATGGCAGGAGAAAAAAGTCCATTTTTTCTTGTCCCCTAAGGTGAAAATACACATTGTTGAGTGTCACACCTATACGCTTTGTCATATTGACACAAAATTTGACAATCAAGTGTATCTCAATAAGATCTAGGAAAAAGTCAATGCGCACATATCTGTAAAATGTACGGTTAAAGGGCTATTTTGCATTTTTTGCCGATTCGCACACATTGGAATGTAGCTAACTCCTCCTAAGGCTTTCGTCCCACTGACACCAAATTTGCTCAGGCCAATCTACACCCCATGGCCATTCAAAGTTGTACAAATCATGACGCTGCACCCCACGGACAACCATGAAGCTCCATCCAAACCTGAAGCAGGCAGTTGGTGCATGTGTACAGTACCCTGAGGGGAGTGAGGTGACTGCTTCTGAGGAGAACATGAGCAGTCAAGATTCACCTTGGAGCTAGAACAGAGACGTGCACATGATTATACAGGGGCAGGGGCTCAAGTTTTTTCCAGTCGTTTATACAATATGGAAATTAATGTGAAATTAAAAAACAAAGTATTAATAGAAAGGTAATGACTGTCCTGTGTAGGTGACAGTGATATCCAATAGGCTAGGCACTCACGAGGCTGGCTGTGGCAAGTGTAAGTGAAAGCAACACACACTGGCAGGAAGAACAGCAAACGCAGATGAAGGAAAAGGGTCTTTGCAGTGATGGGCGTTACCAGAGAGGGCGATGGCCAGAGGACGCGAATGGGACGGGGAGGCAGCGCGTTGGGTGGGGCAGTGCGACACGGCTCGGGCCCGCCAGTGCCCCAACGGGGCCCTAGTTATTATTATTAGGGCCCGAGCCAGCTGCAGAGCAGCCGGGCGTAGAGCCCTATTATTCCTGATGAGTTTTTTAGGGCCCGAGCGTAGCTGCTAAGCAGCTGCGAGAGCCCTCTTGTTCCTGTAGTTTCCTTCTTTTGTTATTATTATTTTTCCTCCCCTTTGAACTGGAAAATGGCCCACTTCCCACTGGCGAAAACTCATGAAATTTGGCAGGACGACCGGGCCTGGTGAAAAATTTGATATTCCGAAGTCGCCCAAACAAGAAAATGCAAAATGGCTCCATAGCGCCCCCTAAGGTGAAAATTCACACTATTGACTGTCACGCCTGTACGCTTTGTCAAAATGACACAAAAATTGACACACACATGTATCTCAATAAGATCTACAAAAAAGTCAGTGCGGGCGTATCTGTCAAATGTACGGTTAAAGGGTTATTTCGCATTTTTTGCCGATCCGCACACATTGGAATTTCGCTAACTCCTCCGAAGGCTTTCGTTCCACCGGCACCACATTTGCTCAGGCCAATCTACACCCCATGGCCATTAAAAGTTATTCAAATCATGACGCTGCACCCCACGGTTTAGGTTCTAGGGGGCGCCAAAGATAACCCTAAGATCCACATATTTAAAAGTCTTATAACTTTTTATTTTTGCCCTCACTGGCCTCCAAGTTTTCTAGGATGATGCAATGTCCAGCCATCAACACATTTGTGAAGGAATTTTTACTCCCAAAAAGAGCGCCCCCCCATGGCAGGAGAAAAAAGTCCATTTTTTCTTGTCCCCTAAGGTGAAAATACACATTGTTGAGTGTAACACCTGTACGCTTTGGCAAAATGACACAAAAATTGACACACACATGTATCTCAATAAGATCTACGAAAAAGTCAATGCGCGCGTATCTGTCAAATGTACGGTTAAAGGGTTATTCCGCATTTTTTGCCGATCCGCACACATTGGAATTTCGCTAACTCCTCCGAAGGCTTTCATTCCACCGGTACCACATTTGCTCAGGCCAATCTACACCCCATGGCCATTAAAAGTTATTCAAATCATGACGCTGCATCCCACGGTTTAGGTTCTAGGGGGCGCCAAAGATAACCCTAAAATCCACATATTTAAAAGTCTTATAACTTTTTATTTTTGTCCTCACTGGCCTCCAAGTTTTCTAGGATGATGCAATGTCCAGCCATCAACACATTTGTGAAGGAATTTTTACTCCCCAAAAGAGCGCCCCCCCATGGCAGGAAAAAAAAGCCAATTTTTTCTTGTCCCCTAAGGTGGAAATTCACACTATTGACTGTCACGCCTGTACGCTTTATCATATTGACACAAAAATTGACACACATATGTATCTCAATAAGATCTACAAAAGAGTCGATTCGCGCGTATCTGTCAAATGTACGGTTAAAGGGCTATTTTGCATTTTTTGCCGATTCGCACACATTGGAATGTGGCTAACTCCTCCTAAGGCTTTCGTCCCACTGACACCAAATTTGCTCAGGCCAATCTACACCCCATGGCCATTCAAAGTTGTAAAAATCATGACGCTGCACCCCACGGTTTACGTTCTACGGGGCGCCAAAGATGACCCAAAAATCCACATTCTTCAAAGAATCCACATCTCCCCCCCCCCCCCCCCCATATGGCAGGAGAAAAAGTTAAGTTTTTCCTGCCCATCGCTCAATGGCTCAATCGCATCGCTCTCCAGGCAACACCATAAGGAGGAGCAACCTGCCATTTCGATATATCATAGCTGTGTTTGTGCCCTCACTCATGGTCCAGACTTTTTTCAAATAGGACATGAAGTTTGTCTGCAGCGAGTGTTTTGGTAGAAACTGCGCCTCCCATTCATTATAATAGGAAATGACCACAGACAAGTGCGCACACCATCTTTGGATCTTGAGTGTGACGCGATCGGGAGGGGGAGGCGGTCGCACTGGGGGCGGCGCGACACGGCTCGGGCCCGACAGTGCCCCAACGGGGTCCTAGTCTTTCTTCTTTCTTTAGGGCCCGAGCGTAGCTGCTAAGCAGCTGCGAGAGCCCTATTATTCCCCAAGTGGTTTTTCTTTGTTTCTTTCTTTCTTCTTTTTCCTCCCCTTTGAACTGGAAAATGGCCCACTTCCCACTGGCGAAAACTCATGAAATTTGGCAGGATGACCGGGCCTGGTGAAAAATTTGATATTCCGAAGTCGCCCAAACAAGAAAATGCAAAATGGCTCCATAGCGCCCCCTAAGGTGAAAATTCACACTATTGACTGTCACGCCTTTACGCTTTGTCAAAATGACACAAAAATTGACACACATATGTATCTCAATAAGATCTACAAAAAAGTCAGTGCGGGCATATCTGTCAAATGTACGGTTAAAGGGTTATTCCGCATTTTTTGCCGATCCACACACATTGGAATTTCGCTAACTCCTCCGAAGGCTTTCTTTCCACCGGCACCACATTTGCTCAGGCCAATCTACACCCCATGGCCATTAAAAGTTATTCAAATCATGACGCTGCACCCCACGGTTTAGGTTCTAGGGGGCGCCAAAGATAACCCTAAAATCCACATATTTAAAAGTCTTATAACTTTTTATTTTTGCCCTCACTGGCCTCCAAGTTTTCAAAGATGATGCAATGTCCAGCCATCAACACATTTGTGAAGGAATTTTTACTCCCCAAAAGAGCGCCCCCCCATGGCCGGAGAAAAAAGTCCATTTTTTCTTGTCCCCTAAGGTGAAAATACACATTGTTGAGTGTCACGCCTGAACGCTTTGTCATATTGACACAAAAATTGACACACACATGTATCTCAATAAGATCTACGAAAAAGTCAATGCGCGCGTATCTGTCAAATGTACGGTTAAAGGGTTATTCCGCATTTTTGCTGATCCGCACACATTGGAATTTCGCTAACTCCTCCTAAGGCTGGCGTTCCACCGGCACCACATTTGCTCAGGCCAATCTACACCCCATGGCCATTAAAAGTTATTCAAATCATGACGCTGCACCCCACGGTTTAGGTTCTAGGGGGCGCCAAAGATAACCCTAAAATCCACATATTTAAAAGTCTTATAACTTTTTATTTTTGCCCTCACTGGCCTCCAAGTTTTCTAGGATGATGCAATGTCCAGCCATCAACACATTTGTGAAGGAATTTTTACTCCCCAAAAGAGCGCCCCCCCATGGCCGGAGAAAAAAGTCCATTTTTTCTTGTCCCCTAAGGTGAAAATACACATTGTTGAGTGTCACGCCTGAACGCTTTGTCATATTGACACAAAAATTGACACACACATGTATCTCAATAAGATCTACGAAAAAGTCAATGCGCGCGTATCTGTCAAATGTACGGTTAAAGGGTTATTCCGCATTTTTGCTGATCCGCACACATTGGAATTTCGCTAACTCCTCCTAAGGCTGGCGTTCCACCGGCACCACATTTGCTCAGGCCAATCTACACCCCATGGCCATTAAAAGTTATTCAAATCATGACGCTGCACCCCACGGTTTAGGTTCTAGGGGGCGCCAAAGATAACCCTAAAATCCACATATTTCAAAGTCTTATAACTTTTTATTTTTGTCCTCACTGGCCTCCAAGTTTTCTAGGATGATGCAATGTCCAGCCATCAACACATTTGTGAAGGAATTTTTACTCCCCAAAAGAGCGCCCCCCCATGGCAGGAGAAAAAAGTCCATTTTTTCTTGTCCCCTAAGGTGAAAATACATATTGTTGAGATTCACGCCTATACGCTTTGTCATATTGACACAAAATTTGACAATCACGTGCCTTGCCTGGTATCATTTTTTTCAGCACAACCTCACCTGTGCGAATTTACAGTTATTTTATCATGTTGACATACTGAATTTACACAATGGACCCAAATTCACACACAAAACATAAAATCCGAGTGGAAAAAAGTAACATTTTTACTGTGAAAACCACAAATATGTGTGATGAACTGTTTTTAAAACTTAAACTTCAAATAAAAATTGTAAACTTCAAAACATATGCAAATTTTTAACAAAGAACATAGTGATTTACCTCTATTTACATCAAAATGCAGGCAATGGCCCAGGCGTTCTTTGTAAAATTGTTTACAAAACACTGTATAGTCTCACAAATGTCACTTTTTACTTATGCCACTACAAAAAAACATGATGTAAATGATGCATGATGTAAAACATGATGTAAAAAACTTGTGTAGATCCTCCTCTATGTCAGTCCATGTGTAATTTTTCCATAATTCTTTGTTTTTTGCAGCATTTTTGTTAGTGTAGCTGCAGATTGTGCTGACAGTGTCTATGGCACAAAAAAAAAAAAAAAAATTAAAATGCCTCAACATGAACCCCTGGTGGTCTCTGAGGGTGAAACCTGCTAACTGCTGCAGCTCTGTCAGCTTCAGTCTCCCATGCAGAGCTCTGAGCGCATGTGTGGCTCTGCACCCTTAGCAGCGTTGCTAACTCCTCAGTAAGGAAAGCCTGCTTCATGTCAGAGTCTCTAAACTCCAGAAGAAGTCGATAAAAGTCCCTTTCTTTCAAAAAAAAGTCGTTAGGGGGTCTGAAAAGTCATTGAATCTAACAACAAAGTCGCTAGGTTTGCAACTACGTGTCCCAGACTGCATCCCTGCTGAGAGTCCCTCCCTCCCTTCTCATGTTGCAGGAAGAACGTAAGCGCCCGCCCCTTGTCAATCAGTCACCATATAATTTTGGATTGGTTGTTGTGGTGAAGTTTTCCACCAATAGGAGAGATGTTGTGGTGTGTTTTTTTTTTCTTTTGGCAAGCCTTTTCCGCCTGTAAGACCTGTCGCTAATGTCTGCATGCTATGTTATCCTGTCTCATACAGCGCGATCGAGCGCCGAACGTGATCAAAATAAGTAGAAAAAAAGTATTGCGGACATAATTTATCATAACTCTGGTTTTATTTGGCCTATCAACACAATTTAAAAACTGGTATATAGGTTGAGGTCCTCACTTTTGAGATAAGTTGAAACGGAGAGTCAACGAGGCTCCGTCTTGCAGCTACATCCGGTTAAATATGTCATGTGACTTGAACGCACACACAGACACACACACACACTCAGAGTCTGGTTTTTAGCACCTGCAAAAACATGCTATTTACATATTTGACAAGAATGCAGAGGCTCCTTTTGCCCCTGAAAAAAATCAAATTTCAAACACAACTTGACTGCTCATTTCTCCAAAAGACAACCATGAAGCTCCATCCAAACCTGAAGCAGGCAGTTGGTGCATGTGTACAGTCACCTGAGGGGAGTGAGGTGAGTGCTTCTGAGGAGAACATGAGCAGTGAAGATTCACCTTGGAGCTAGAACAGAGACATGCACATGATTATACAGGGGCAGGGGCTCAAGTTTTTTCCAGTCGTTTATACAATATGGAAATTAATGTGAAATTAAAACACAAAGTATTAATACAAAGGTAATGACTGTCCTGTGTAGGTGACAGTGATATCCAATAGGCTAGGCACTCACGAGGCTGGCTGTGGCAAGTGTAAGTGAAAGCAACACGCACTGGCAGGAAGAACAGCAAGCGCCGATGAAGGAAAAGGGTCTTTGCAGTGATGGGCGTTACCAGAGAGGGCGATGGCCAGAGGACACAAATGGGACGGGAAGGCAGCACGTTGGGGGGGGGATGCGACACGGCTCGGGCCCGCCAGTGCCCCAACGGGGTCCTAGTTATTTTTCTGCCCCTTTGAACTGGAAAATGGCCCACTTCCCACTGGTGAAAAGTCATGAAATTTGGCAGGACGACCGGGCCTGGTGAAAAATTCGATATTCTGAAGTCGCCCAAAAAATCAAATGCAAAATGGCTCCATAGCGCCCCCTAAGGTGAAAAATTCACATGATTGAGTGTCACGCCTGTACGCTTTGTCAAAATGACACAAAATT